ACCATGATCGGATATGGGTCGCATAGGGTCAAAAAAAGTCGGATTTGATGCGCTTTCGCCTGCAGTGTGAACGTAGCTTTAGACTACAAATGACCTGGATGACTGAGAACCTTCACAGACATAACAAAAACTATAGGTATAGGTGTTGCTTGTTTTGGACTGATTTGATTTGTTCCCCTTTTTTTCTCTCATCTGCTACGTCATTTTTTTCTGGTAGTTTAAATTGGTTTTATTTGTTATTTTGATAAGCTGCTTTATTTATTCAGTTGAGTTCTTTCCTGCTAACTTTGGTACAGGCCCCAAACTATGATGTGGGTCATTTTTTTTAAACATGTAAAATAAAACCAATTTTTCATCTGTGCTCCACCTGTGTGCATCATCTTAAAAGTTAAAATTAGACTTTCTATGACACACATTCATCAGTCAGTGGTAAGGCTCAGTTTTCAAAAGGCTCGTCTACAACCATACGGTAGTTAATGAGCTCAACATAATGAGATTCAGAGTATGTGTATTCATGTAAGCATGTGGGTAAGCTTGGGTGCAAAAAACTAAACAAAAAAACCCAAAAATATTTTATCCTGTAATCATACACCTGTCCTTGGAAGCACAAAAAGCTCACATCACAAGTGATGCATGCCACTGATAGAGGCCACTTCCCTGTCCACTCAAAATGTTAACAAACCCAAACAGAAACCTTATATAGTCGTGCTGTAACTGTGTGTGTGTGTGTTTAACTGTATACATATATGCATCCCATGACAAGTTTTAAACACACCAAGGTCAGACGCACTTCCGTGTGTTACGTAAAGTGTTGGGGAGCAAGGTTGCAAAGAAAAAACTGCACCTGTTGCCATCTGTACATAGCTTCTGATGAAGGCACCAAAAGTGTGTCTGTGTGTTTAAGTGCCTGTCTTTGTGGTTACCTGAGTATGATGACTATCCATGTGTCTGTGCAAAGAGGGGGTGCTGGAGGAGTTTGACTTGCTGTGACTCTCATCCTCCAGCGACCCTGAACACAAAAAAAGAAGCGTTTCACAAACCACGGATATCTGTCTTCTCAAGTCTTTCCACACACAGGCAGGTACAGTCTGAAGGACACACCGTTTTTCAAACACAAGCAATCTGAGAGAGGGCTAAGAAACTGTTTTCATGCAAAGAAAAATGTTGCGGCAAGAGTATGGTTTGGTTGCAAAACTGTCTGGGTATTTAAGAATAAAGTAACCACTCTCTGGTTCCAGTAAATCCTTCTCAGTTTCTCAGGTCACCTGATTATACCATTTAATTTCCCTCTTGTTATTTGTAACTCTAACTCCACTTACCAATCTTCCCAGCCTGCAACTACTTTTATTTCAGTCCACTCCACGATGAATTGAAGTGATTGTGCGGATCTGGCATTACAATGGCTAAAAGGAGAGTTTGCAGCTAAGACTGGCCTGATGTATGACTTTGTCACTCCAAAGGTAGAGCCAGTGGAACTGTATTTCTTATTTACAACCACATGGCATTTTAACTACTTTTTACTAACTGTAAACTATAAGTAGACTGACACCCATTAATCTCTAGATGCATAGTTACGTACCAACATGACAGTGGTGAAGCTGGCAGGGCCTTAATATATGATAACAGAGGTTGTAAAAACAAAACAAAAAAAAACTCAGTGTGTCTTTGCTTATCACCTGAAATGTCATGAAGCTGCCATGTCAGTTTTCCTTAATGTCATACTTGAAATTTGTCAAAAACACATGGTAACCTTGACATTCATAAAATATGGAGAACTTATTTGATTCAATCCAGGCTCTGTATGTGCACAGCTTTGGATTTCTATTTTTGCCATGCTTAAAAACCACTAGCAAGTCCACGCCAAGCTTTACCAAAGTAACCTTGAATAATATAGCGGGTCATTGCTATTTAAAAATATGTTCCTAAGATTGTGAGTGTGAATATGCAACATTGGGCTGTTACCGTTTGAGATCTGGTTCCCGTTCTCTACAGGGGCAGGGCTTTGTGAGTGGGGAGAGTGGTTGTTGGCGTTCTTGTCTTGTAGCTGGAGAGATGGTGAGGTGGGGGCAGAACCACAGTCTTCCCTCCCTGGCAGATTGATATTAGAATTGAATCCTGGTGGGAATATAACAAGAGGAAATGCAACTGCATATCGGTGCATGTTACAAACGGTAATATCCATCATGCATAATATCATCAGAATACCCTCTCTTTATATATTTCATAATATCTATCTGCCTTTCTCCCTTCTGCTGCTCCTTGGGGCTCAAATGCTACACACTGCATGAATAAGTAACTGTGGGTGCATATGTGTGTGGCAGTGTGAATGAGAATTCATCAGCTGCTGTCCCACACAGAGAATGTTTGCCTCCCGGTCCATCCATGGTCACAAGATGCCTAAATATAAAGTTACCAAACTGTACTATCCCATGGGATAGGTGAGTTTTTACAAGGAACACAAGGCCTTGCAGTGAGACAGAGCCCATGCGAGTGTTCATGCTTATGAAAGATGAGTCATTCAGGCACAAAGACCATAATAAAAGCTAAATGAAATTGGAAATTTCGGATGTTGCTGCTGAGGTATGATGTGTCTCATGACTCTGATTTCCTAAAGCCTGCCAAGACCCCCTGCCCTCTTTCCCTTGCATTCCTGTGGTTTTCTCATTCCCTGAAGATGAGGAAAGGCGCGTGGAGAAAAGAGCGTCAGCTGCTCTTCACTTCATGTCCAGGATAGCAACTGCAACCCCTGGGCAGTCCCACAGCGTCAGGTATCACATTCAGTTATTTAACAGCCGATAGGGAACGGAAGTAGGGCGTTCTGTTAAGCCCACTGGCATCTCTCTACGCATGGATCTAAGAGGGCCGCCTTGCTTTGCCCACTCAAAATACACCAGTGCTTGGTTCCCCTGTCACACACACCGTTTCCATGACGCCAGCACTTTTCCCGTACAGTTGCAGGTGCTGACGAGGGGTCAGACGCAAGATGTCATGTGATGCAAATGCGTAAGCATATTCACTTGCCCTCATACCGTCTCTTATAAGGAGTTCAACTTTTTGCCCACTGAACTTATTATATTTATAGAACTATGAGACAACAGCTTTGATCACAGCTCAGCTAGCTTCACAATCACCTTCTAGCATGATGTCTAGCTGATGCTTTCACCTGAATTCTCCAATATGCAAATAATAGTCCAGGACATGCTGTTCAATGCTGCGAGGCAGTCTCGCTCCCTTCAGTAGAACCTGAGTGAGCTGTTAAATATTTCATAGCTATCCTCTTGGTTCTCCTGCTCATGTATTATTAACCCAGCCACAACTAATACACTTTGAGGAAACAGAGCCTCAGACAGTAGGGTGCGACAGTTTCTCAAGGTGGAATATCAGTGATAAGTTTACTTTTCACGCTCTCTCTGTCTGGGTTTGAAACCTTTGACCTAAGGGACCGGAGTTCATTTCATTCACTACGTGTGACAAATACTGTTTGTTCTTCTTTTGTAAAGGTCAGCTTTTTCATCACTACACACAGTTTCTATGTACTTTACATACGTGCAGAGCTATAGCACACAATAACAAAGCTAAAACATAATTACAGTGCAGTGTGATGCTAAGTGATTTACACAAGCTGGCTCATTACCTAACATATTAGAAGGCAGCTGCAGCAGCCAAAGGGCACTACACAGGAGGCTGTAACAAATGGGTTGCCTCAAGTAGGCCAAAAGGGGTTGCTGGTTACAACATCTGATCTAATGTAAGGGGTTTCCAAATGTAGGTCTGGATAACAGCGCATCTTACCTCTCTACTACTCGAAAACAAAACAAAATCTGTGACAGATTTATTGACAAAAGCTATTGTTATTACCTATCTAAGCACGTAAAACTACTCCTGCTGTACAGAAGGTAATCAGATGGTATGCAATACATCATCTGACCTAGGTCAGGATGGGATTTTGATGATAACCTCACAGCTGTGGGCAGACAACAGCAAGAAACACACGTGCATTCAGCTGAATGGGAAACTGTTATACACCAATATATGAAAGGTTCATATATTGGTGGTTTGGGAAGCAAATTAATACATATGCAATAATTAAAGGAAAAAGGAAAAAGGGGGAGGTGCATGTACTTCATAATGTGTATGTACACGAGGAGTGTGTGTCTACTAACAGACCTCCATCTCTCATCTTGCGGCCAGACTTCCTCAGTAGGCTACGTCCAGAGCTGAACAGGGTGCTGAGTTCATCCAGGGGGCTGGTCAGGGGCCTGCCGTTGGCTGGGTTGAATAGCAGTGGAGACGAGGAGCACGAGTGAGCTCTTCGAGGCTCAGGACGAGACACCTTCACAGGGGAATAGGGAGGAGGCTTTCCCAGCGGCTCCCCGCCTGTTCTTTGTGAGGACGTTTTGGAGGAATCTGAGCTCCCAGTGACAGATGCTGCTCGTGTCAGAGCCAGGAAGTTGGCCTCAGGTGGGAAGGGGAAGTGTGAAGGAGGTCTATAGGGTGGAGGTGGGGCACTAGGAGGAGGAGGTGGAGGAGTGAGTGGAGGTGTGGACTTCTTCTCTGGCATTAAAACAGTGAGGCTTGGGGAGGAATCAGCCCTCTGGCGGGCGTACTGTGGGGACAGAGGGCTGTCTGGCCCAGTGGCATAGTTGAGGTTTGTCTCAAACACCGGCAGCTTTTTTACTTCCAGGGGGGTTAGGGGTGACTCATCAGAAGCAGGAGAACAGGTGACAGGGGAGGGCGGAAATACAAGGAGTGGAGGGCGGTGAGGAAGCAAGTTGGGAAAAGGTGCAGGAATGTCACAGCTGCCATCTTTTCCATGCTGGCTTTTGGGAGCTCCACTGTTTGATGTGCTATGTGAGTGAGTGATGTCCAAAGCAGCAGTCACCCCCAATGCCAGTCGTTTAGTCTCTGCACTCTGAGGAGGGGATGTCCCCAATCCTAATAAGTTGAGTCCTAGAGCCTCCAATTTGGCTGGTTTGGTGACAGAGGCAGCAGCTCCACCATCTTCAGAAGGGTAATACTTCATCTCCTCGTAGACAGCTTCCGAGTCGGCTTGCTCTGGGCTATCAGGCGGCTCCTGGAGGCTTCGTGCCCGCTGCTGGGATCCCAACATCTCTATGTAAATGTCTTCTTCATCTTGGCCCTTGAACAGACTTAGTGCAACCCCTTGTGGAGCATCTATAGAGGCTGCTCTCTGCATCAAGCCTCCAAATCCCCCGCCACGTGAAAGCAGGGCCAACTTTACATCAGCTGGGCGCAGCTGATGGAGCTGGGGTGCTACAGCATTAATCTCCTCATATGAGCCAGTCAGCTTAGTGTTGGGGCTGCGCTTAGGTTTCGGGGGTGGTACCTTTCTCATAGTTGTGTAGTCATCACTATGGGGACGGGGTTTGGACAAGGCTAAGGAAGAAACAAAACAAAGAAAGCTAAATCAATATGTAACAGCAATGAGGCACCGCCATCTGTTATATCTTTGACAGTCCAGTAGAAATGATTTACCTGCTGGGTCTGTGGGGGATAGCTGGGATTTAGGAGGGCTTCCAGCTGGTGAAGCGTAGCCCTCTGGAGTGGAGCACTCTTTGGCGGCCATCGTCAGGCCTGCACTAACTGCTTCATAAGATGCACTCAGACGAGTATTGGGGTCCCTCTTTGGTTTAGGAGGAGGTTGCTTACGAGGAGAGGAAAGACCTCCCCCGCCTGCTCCGTCCTCATTGATATGGACAACTTGCTGCAAGGCTGGTTTGATGGGTGGATTGGCAGACGAATGGACCATGTTCTCAATGGCGAGCGGGGTTGGTACCGAGCTGGAGCGAAAGTGGCGAATGACTCGACTTCCGCCGTTGGCAGGGCCTTCGTGCACTTTCGTACTTTTCTCTGCCACTCTACAAATGGAAATAAGAAACAGTGAGTTAACTTTATAATTAATCAAACTCATAATACGCTTTCCTCAAATGTCACTTCAGAGGTTTAAGATAAATTGGGCAAAAGGAGGAAACAACCAAAGAGATTAAACCTAATCTCCTTGCTGTAATTTGATATCATCCAGTTTGATATTTCCTTGGCTAATCTGGGTGAGCCATCTGTTAGTTTCCTGATTGCAGGCAGGCATGCGGTCGGGGGTGAGAGGTGGGGGATGAGCATTTGTGGAGGTACTCAGGAGAGGCGTTTTGAAAATCTGCAGTGAGATTACAGTAGGGGAATCTGGGGGAATGTGTAGATGTAAGTACATTTTTATCTCCTCTACAGTACAGAGGTGAAACCTGTTATCAGCTGTTACATGCTCAAGGACACAGAGTTTATAGAAAACATGTGTCTTATATTATTTGTGATCTCTGGTCTCCTTTCACGTTTAAAAAGATTTAAATGTGCTTTTTTTTAGGCATATGTGACAACAACTCAAACCTAAAGAAATGTAGAACAATTTTCTATTTTGTGTTAAATGTTTTGTCCTGTCAGGATTTTAGCCACCAGTATTTATCAAACTGAAACAAAAGTATTTTTCCTCCAACAACAGCAGTAATCAATAGAAATGATATAGCACTGATTTCTCTGCAGGCAAAAAAGAACGTATAGAAATAATGCCCATATTTATGAAGCATACTGCAGAAAGCATAAGAATATAGTACCTGTATGTACTTACGACTTTAATAGTGCTGAAATACCAATCACACATCAGGTATTATGAAGGCCCTTCATTTAGCGCCACCTCTAAAAAGCTTTTTATTGCTTTTTTACACTTTTTTCAAGTCAGGCTTGAGAGTTATTTAATTTCCTCCAAGTGTAATATACTGGTATATTAGAATGAGGTGAGGTGGAGATAAGGATTGTATTCCATAGGAGCAACACAATACGAAAACAATCTGATAGCGCGAGTCATTATCTGACTATCCATCATGAACCTCACAATTAAAAGTCTGCAGCACACAGGTATACAGTGACATCATTAATCAGAAAGCACATGCTGTGCTGGCATGGCCACACACAAGCACGCAGATGAATAAACACACACAATTATGAAGGCAAATGATTCCTTCACACAGTCATAAATCCTGTAAATGACTACGATTGTTTTTCTCCGGGCTAAATGATGCTACAGTTACTATGAGGTCAGTGCCTCATAATATGAATCACATTATAGTGAGTAATGAAAGCTCTGTCTTAGTGAGAATATGGTCTTGATTGATCGCAGTGACTATAAAATGTCAGAAAATGGCTAAAGGTTACGAAGATGTGCACTGAGAAAATGAAAAAAGAAATATCCATATTTTAAAATTAGTTCTAACCAGGAGAATAGCGGAAATCTATCCTTGATCAAGCAAAATATTTGCTTTCTGATCTAAATAAAAGGGCGTACGCTGTATAAGTGTCTGCTCATTTACCTCCTGATTGGCTGATCTTCCTCCTTCCCCACCGGCTCTGGTCTTTCGCCAAGGGGTGGGCTACTGCCAAGGGTGTTGAGCAGGCTATTGCCATGGCAGCGCAGGCGGTCGTTTTCTCTTGCAATGTCGGAGGCATTTTGGATAACCAGCTGGTCGTAGGTTCGCAGTCCCATGTCTTCTGCCCCCTGCAGGAAGTGCTGCACACCGCGCTCCTCTTTGTGTTGTAACGATAACCTGCGATTGACCCGCTGCCTGGCTAGCCAGCCGCGAACAACTGAGACATTGGGTGGAGATGAAGACACAGTCATCAGAGGTGTCGTGGCTCGAAAAGAAGATGGTGGTAGAGGATATTGTTGTATTGAGTATTACCTTTTTGACAGGTGATGATCTTTTTATGTAGCTGGTAGCAGCGGTCGTTGAGCTGGTCTGCCTGCCAGTATCTCAGAAACACTTTACTGCTGCCCATCTACACAGACAACGAAACAAGCAATCTAAAAAAACATACACATATATATCTATTTTTTTTTTCATCAGCTAAAAGGAGCACTTAGAAGACCCTGTGAAGCTGTTTTCTTTTGGAAATCTCAGAAGAGTGTGACCTGCTAGTTGAGCGATGGGAGACCGGTGATGTAGCAGTAATTTATGATAATCAGTGGGTGTGGAGTGTGGATAGGGTGTGGGTTTGCATGCTGATAATGCATTCACTTCCTGGACATAGAGAGCTTTTGAGAGGTGACAGAGGTCACGCTATACCAGGTGCAAGGAATTGTGAGGGTGACATACTTGCACAGATAGCCCCTATTCATTCCAGCACAAGCTACTTGTAGGAGTAATGTGTGTGTGTGTGTATGTGCATGTGTGTGTTTGTGTGTGAGTGACTGAGTGAGTGAGAATGGCAGGGTTTTATCAAAAGTGTCTGCGGGCTATTGTGGAGGAGTGTGTATGCATGTGTGACCTGTGGGGTCACACGCTCAGACACAACAGCAGTCTAGCAGACAGGAGAGAGGGGGGTTGGAGGGGTCCGTGCTGCTGTGTGCGTGCGTGTGTGTGTGTGTGTGTGAGTCGAATTCTGATGAGGTGGGACAGCTGGAACAAGTTGTCAGGATTCCATGGGATCTTTGAAACAGAGGGTCAGGGATTAAGTCATTTGGCAAATTTTTCATTATTGATGGAGACAGAAAAGGACACTGGACACAAACACACCTGCCATCCCTGGAGTTTTGATTGTTGCAGAACTGAGCGACATTTTTCCTCCGGAGACAGTTTCTTCTTGTCTCCCAGTGTTGGGACAACAAGGTCTTTATATCTGTAACACGACAAAGAAAAACACAAAACATCAGAGCTCCAGGGATAAACACGCTGAACCTAAAAACCCAGACAAGACATGGAGGCAGCCTATTTTGGAAACAATGGGTTCAAGGGTCATTAGGGTCATTCAGAAGACAAGCCAAACAGCATCTGTTCCTATTGGCAGTGTCCAGGGCAACCGTTGTTATGAATGGTCAGCTGGATGGAGTCAGTGGCTTGTTTATGCACTGGGTGGTGTGGAGAGAAGCAGAAAGTAAGAAAAGTGAATATAGCTGTTAATGTGTAATAAGAGTAGATGTTTTTATATATTCTGAATTCTGAATACACACAGAAGAAAGAATGATTATGAATTATGAAGGAAATAAACTGACCACATAGAAAAATGTGACTGAACTGAAAACACATCATCCCTAAAGACTAAGCGGCAACCGTATGCTTTGTTGGTGTGAATATAAGTGTACAACAAATGTACTCAATAAGGTATGAAGATTTCTCTTGCTGTGATTGGTTCAGCTTAAACCTATAGTAAAGCCTTCAGCTTAATGGGAATTCAGTTTGACTTTTCCTTATTCCCTGCAGAGAAACGTAGGCTTGCAGTCTGCACTCTCATTGAGGAAAGACTGTTTTGTACAATAGGAAGTGCTTCTGGCTCTTTAACTGAAAAAAATTACAGAATTAAAAATTAAAGAAGCAATTTTTCCTGTGAATTAAGTAATTATCTATATATACACAGCTGATTGTTATACACTGGGGGACCGCACCGGTCCACACCCGATGCCATACCAATGTGGATGAGCTGTAAATATTCTAACTGCGCTGTTTATCTTCGACAGCTTACAGCATTACCATCTGTGACGGACAACTGGTTCACAAAGCTCATCCCAATATTTATAAAACTACGGGACGAGGTGCACGTGTCATTAACAGAATATATAACTGAAAGTATGTCATGTCATGAAGTGCATACAGTAAATACAGTAGGCTTATTCTGAGCAGAAATTCTGACTTGACTAACATTGCTGTGCAAAAGTCTTGAGTCATTTCTTTCCAAGAAGTCAGACTTTCCTCAAATGTTTTAACTGTTCTTAAGCAAGTACTCAAGGTTGTTATCTACATAACAGATTTTGCTCAAATACAGTATATTTAATTCAGGTGTTTTTTAAACTTTCTTACAAATTAACACCATTATGTCATTTTTGATTGTTGTATTGTTCAACAAAAACACAGTTTTTTCACGAGTATAAAATACAGTATAAAATACTTCCTATGTTTTAAAGTTCTTTAGCTCTCCAGGCTTTTTAGGGGTCTTTTCCTTTGACATTGACTGATTTTTACCAGATTTTTAGTCCAGCAGTTGACCATTTTCAACGGAATATTTTGTTTGTTTGTTTTTTAAGCCCATTAACACTGGCCTATGAATCATCCAAACATAAAAAGGAATCTAACTCAAGGGGTTAACCAATTTTGTGTCAACATATAAAAGACAGCTATCTTCAGGCACTTTGTTACTAGCAACCTGTTGTAAAAGCACATATTTGTTTCCATTTCTTTAGTTCAATCTATGAAAAATGCCCCCAAAAAACATACTTTGACAAACATGAAATAGTATTTTGGCACAAACAAGGTGATTCCAGAAGTGTCGATGTACACTACAATTATCATTATATCTTATAATTAAACTTTATATTTTACATAATACGTCTAATAAATATTCCAATGTACATTTTGGAATCATGTTTTATGCAAAATACTTTAAATTTTTAGGGGCCAAAGAGCTAAAGATTAATATGCTGAATTGCTATCTTTATTTTTTCCATAAATGCTGTAAGTAAAGCTTCCTTTACACACTATTTCAGACACTGGTTTTTGAACATTTGTTTTTATTAAAAATCAGTTATCAGTACACTAGTCTGTCTTTTCTGTTCTCAATGGGAAGCATTACTAGCTGATGATGCCACTCTGCTGACGAGACATATATAACAAGCAGATGGCTGGAAACATAAACCACTTGCGCTGTCAATAGCGAGTACGCGAGTGTACATGGATGTGGGATGTGTTTGATTTACAGAAGAGGGCTATGTCTGAACTCTCCCTAACCCTCTCTCTGTATGGTAATACCAGTTCTGCAGACAGCACACGCTGTCCCTGTGGGCCCATAAAATACAAAGGAACTCTGTAAATCCATGACCTCTCCAACGAGGATATGAAAACCATCGATGGTCCCTGCTTTAACAAGACCTAAGGGGGCTTCATGTGGAGTCAAAGAAGTGAAATAACCCTTTTAAAAAAGCTTAAATGGAGGGTTACACTGTGCTAACGTGGTTCACTGTGACCAGAGGGCTGTCACTGACCTCGTTGACTGAGCATCACAAAGGTGGTAATGACAGTGCATTTGTAATTTAAACTCTTACTTCCTTTCTGAAGCTGCTCCTTAGACATATTGCATGGTGGCAACATTTAGTCAATAATATCTGCCGACATTACTTTCTATGTACTACCAAGAAATTTGTATTTTTATCTGTCAGTGGAAGGTAATGAAGATGTACTTGGAAAAAAATCATATTTAAAAATGACTTTTATTCTTGTGGACTGCATTTGTACCTCGCTCTGTAAATACTTATAAATCTTTCACATCCAATTTTGGATAAATGATAAGAACAACACACATCGAGGGCTGGGGTTGGAAGAAACAAGGTTCAAATGGTCCTATTTGACCTCACACATTTGCAGAAAATAAACCTGGCCACAAAACACATATGGTATCATAAAAGACAAATAAAAGCAACAGTAAAACAGATTTCATCGTAAATCACCCTGGTTACCAGGACACTAATGTAATTCGCTTCAGGCTGCCGCTTTGACTTAGTCAAGTGGCCTGTGAAGCTCCAGTGTGTAAGTGTGTATTTCTGTGTAGGCATGGCTCTGTTTGTATTCATGAGACTACAGCAAAGTCAAGGATAATGAGTAATTTAATGGGCTGCCATTATGATTAGTCTAGAGCCTGGGATTATTTCTGAAGGAGACACACATTGCAGGGAAAAGATGGAATAAAAAAAATGGTACGAAACTGGAATGACTGTGTGGACATGACAAAAGTAGGTAGTGATGATGAGGGAAAAATACAAACAGTGGTTCAGAAGAGAGAGTAAGTGAGGAAAGAATGAGACATCAAGTGAGAAAGAGCTCTGGAAAACAGCAGTGCAATCCACCCCCAAATCAGCAGTCCAAGCAGTGATCATAGGTTGGCACTGTCTGTGCTGAACCCAGTGGAGCTGAGAGAGATGAATGGCAAATGGCCTGGATTGACTGGTGTTTTGTGAGTGGCAACCACTTAAATCAGGTATTGCTTTGATTTACAAAAACACACACACATCAGAACACACACCATTTACTGTATGTATGGTACATTTGTATGAACAACAACAACAACAAACAAAAAAGTGCCACACAGGCATTCAACAAATTTTGTCTTTTGCTTCTAATGCCAGAAACAACTCACAAAAGCTGGAATCGTAACTCTGAAAACAAATTCTCTTTTATATCTACAAATCACAAAGAGGTCTACAGTAAACTATCTTAAAGCTTAAAGAAATCTAAGGACAATTTAAATCCATCCCTCCTTCACATCAGTGCTAAGTCAACTGCAACTTATATTCTTAATATTCTTTGGCAAAGTTCCCAAAATCTGGAAGGGTGCACCGGTGTGCCCACTGCATAGAGGTGGTGACCCAAGTGACTCAAATAATTGACGCCCTGTCTTAAAATGGTCTAATTCTGAGTTCCTAATGGAAAGTGTATCTGGAAAAAACATTTTATAGTCAGAAAAGTCATGTTTTAGATACAAAACACAACAATAGCTGCAGTATGTGTACTACAATGTTATTGTAGCATGTAGTAATGCTATTGAAGCCCTTGATAATCATTAGTAATGCATTTTTCATATCTACCAAAAGCATTTAATTCAGTAGATCACATCATTTTTAGAAAAACAATTCTTAGTCAGTTTAGATGAACAGTCCCTTAAATGCTTTCATTGTTGTCTTTCTGACAGATCTCAGGAGAGTCCAGTGGTTTTCAGGTCAAGTCCACTTGCCATCTGGACAGGTGTTCCACAAAGATCTATTCTTAAACCCCTTTAATTTACCCTCCGCCACCCAAAACTGTAATGTACATTTTTATGCAGATGATACTATTTTATATGCTGCTTGGCATTCCATTCATTGCCATTACAAATCTACATTTTGCTTCTTTTTTTTTATAATTTCAGAAATGTCCTATCATACATGAACTTGATTTAAATTCTGATAAAACTAGGAACTCTGTGGAACACCTATCAAAAAAATTAAGGATAAATATTTTATTTACACACAACAGAACCCTAAGAGCCTTCACCTGAAAGTTAATGGGGATGTGGCAAACAACACTAGAGGCCAACTTTAAGCCAAATGAACAACCATCAAGTGCAGGATTTACCAAGGAGATGCTGTCCCCACTGCTGTTCTGCTACAAGACTGGCTATGGATACTGACTACAGAATTGAGGAATCATTTGGCGCCTCCTCTACATGGAGTAGAGTAAACGAAACATTGACTCATTGATCCAAACCACTAGAATCTACAGTAATGACGTTGCAACGTCATTTGAACTGGAGAAGTGTAGTCAGATGGTGAAAAAAAAAGGGAAGGTAGTCAGAACCGAGGGAACTGCAATACCAGAAGGCACCATTGCAGAGAGTGAGGACAGTTACAAGTATCTGGGAATCCCACAGGCAAATGGGAATCATGAAGATGTTGTTAGGAAAGCTGCAAATACCAAATAACTGCAGAAATTAAGCTGAATGGGAAGAACAAGATCTGGAGAATCAACACCTATGTACTGCCAGTTGTCAGATACCCTGTTGAGATCAGGGTAAGGGAGGAGATAGAAGCCACTAACATCAAGACAAGGAAGCCTTACCATGCGTGGAGGGTTTCATCCCAAGGCCAGCACCCTGAGACTGTCCACTAAGCGTGGTAGAGGACTAGTGAGTGTCAAAACCACTATCCAGAAATAAACAGCAAAGATCCATGAGTACATCAAGAAGATGACCACAAAAGATAGTGTGCTTAGTGAATACCTCAGGTAGCAGAAACCCGATAAAGAAGAGGAGCAAGAAGAGTTACCATAATGGAAGGACAGGACCCTGCACAGCATGAACCAGTTGCTGATAGAAATGGTTGATATCAAGAAATCTCGCCAATGGCTGGACAAAACTGGACTGAAAGATAGCAGAGAGGCACTAATCATGGCAGCAGAGGAGCAAGCTCCAAGCCCAAGATCCATAGAGGCTGGGGTCTACCATACCAGGCAAGACCCCACCCAGGTGCAGGCTGTTATGCAGGTGCAGGCTGTTATATACTGGGCTGTGCCTGAGACAATCCAGAGAGAGATAGTGAAACAGGAAACAATAAAACCAGTGTTGTTTCAAATTCCCAAGGTCAAAATACAAGATCATTGTAAAATTTTGAAGCCTCATGTTTCTGTGTATCATACAAAAACAACAAACCTATTTCCTGATTTCATTAAAACACTTTGAGGGGGTATATTTATCTAAGTGTTCCTATCACTATTTGAAAACTGTGTGATGGATTCATGTGTACAGTAAAATCTACAAACGTCAATCATGTGGACAATATGTAATGTCTGACTCACTGCTTTCATTTTTCTTGTTTCAAAATCCATTTAGTGGTTAAGTGTTTTTTCTAGTCCACTAGAAAATCACTAAACCCACCAACCAAACTGAGCTGAATGTAGTGAAAGTGCAAAAGTGCATGTTTGTTTTTTCTTTCTAACTGCTCAGTGTGCGGTGTGCAGATAATTGAAGAACTTGCAACATGTGTAACAAAAAAAACGACATAGCTGAATTTGTTAATTAATGTGTTAAGATTACAGCATTACAGAAAAACTGAATGTGATTACAGTAGTGAGTTACTTTGAATAGTGTTAAACCAAACATTAAGAGGCACAGCCATTCCTTTTTTTTTTAACTTTTCATAATTATGTTTTGACAACTTCAAGAATGTTGCTTCAAACTCATTAGCGAGTATGCAAATACTGAACAGGTTTTTGATTCATCCACTCTTTCAATTGAGGTTAAGGAAGTGAGGAGCTGGTTTGCACAAGTTTGTATGTATGAGTATGTGTAGATGTGTGTGTGTAGGTGGTGGGTAGGAGGATTGTGTGTGTGTCCAGGGGGGTGATGTTTACAGCAAAGTAGTGGAAACTTTTGAGGGGGTCATGTGACCAGCTTTGTCGTCTCTCATTATCTGCCAAGAATGTTCATGTTAATCCCTTTATCCTCAAAAAGAGAGAGAGAAGCTAAGAGAACAGAGGATGAGAGAGAGAGAGGGAAAGGGAAAGGGGGTGGGGAGGTGGTTGGACTTAGAGGTAAATCCTCTCAGTATTTTACTGGTTCTCAGAATCAGAAGACAGGAAAAACTGAGACAATTAACTGAAGCCGAGGAAGTGAGACATAGAAATGGAGGAGAAACGGAATGTCAAAATCACATTGTTCTCTCTGTTTCTCAAAAAAAGTACAATGAGTAACACATGAAGGCAAAGCGTATTTTTAAAAAAAAGGGGTAGTAGCAGATAGTAAGGGAAGTCAGGTGATGTGGAGTAACTGTCAAAAATAACCGTCAAGTGCAGGACAAAATGACCTTACGTACAATTGGTTAATGCCTGTGTGTCACGCTGACATGGGAAATGTCTGTGGTACTCATTAGCAGCAATGGTCTCCCATTATACCTAAAAAAAGACATTCTGGGTCACGCTGCACTCGTAACAATAAGCCGCAGTGACTTTTCAATTCAAATATGTCAGTCTGCCTGTGAACTCGCAGTACTGTAGGGTATATGCCCATGCATTCATTGGCAGAGTCATTTGCTCTGAATCTTTAAGTCTACTTACACCTGCTGGATGTGTAACAGATAAAGGGAAGTTTCGCAGTGACCTGCTGGGAATGGTTCAGTATAACTGAGATGAGTCAGAGAGACAAAGAAGCAGTGCAATATGTCAAATTTAAGACCTTTCCCTAAAAGTAGCATCTGAGAGCTAAGATAGATGTGGTCATAAAGTGGATCAGCATACGGAGACATAACAGTAAATTAAGAGGAGAAGTTTCGATAGTTGCAGCACTTTTATCCGCTGCTTTAACACTGACCTGCTGAGGAAGCCTGGAAAGGACAGGCGCACGGGGTAACCATAACGGATCATGCGCACCATCTCAAGCACCCCGATGTACTGCAGCTGGGTAGACACATGGAAGCTGTCAAAATTGTCTGGCTGACAACTGGAGTTGGGTCGCACACACTCCACGAAGTGGGGAGTGCAGGCCTGCAGTTTGCTAACCAACTCTGACAGTGTGTTCTGGAAGAGAAAGAAAACACAGAGGAGATGCATTCAATTGCACATTTTTAGCGAGTCGATCACAATAGTCTCGTGGCTGTTTTTACATGTTAAGTAATTTAGAGAGGAAGGAAGGATTGTCTGACATCATTTGATGTTTGACGTGTGTGCTGCACAAACTGGAGCAAAATTACAATGTGTTTGTAACAAAGTGGTGTGATTTTGGGGTGTGTTTTTGCCTCTGGAGAAAACAAAAGCACAAAGAGCTCTTTGCTCTGTCTATGGGTGTGTGAGGGAGAACGCAAGAAAGAGCTTTTCTTCAAACTCTGAATTCAAAGATGCTCCATTCAAGGTCACGTAGACGCATAAACACTTACATCTGTGTTTTTGCCATTCGTCAAACTGACGTCAGTCTATGCACTGCATACCCTTAGGTTTCAGTGCTCAATACCTCACCCCTCATCTTTGGATGCCACTAGCAGCATTCACATAACTGTCTTCCCTCCAAACATGCGTATGCACACACTCAAATACGTGCCCACAGAACACAGTGGTTTTTGTTCATTGTTCATTCATTCATGTGGAGGGCTTCATGTTTGGCTTGGTACAGCATCATTCTTCAGCCCACTCTCTCCTTCCCTGCCATTCCCAGAGGGACTCATTGACCACAAGTCCACAAGTCTGATTGTGCAATACACTGGTTTCATTGAAACCAAAGGTACTGCTTCTCTCAACCACATTTTAGGCTTCTTGCGTCACCACCAAGAAGCCGCTCTCCCCTGCTCTCCTCTAACTGAAAATTTGTGCTTCTTTATATAGTTGTGAAATCACAACACCCAATTCTAAACTTAGTTTTGCATTGTTGCAAATGCACAGTAATTCACAAGATTGACATAAATTCCTTTGCTTTATTCCTGTAAAATTTCATTCGCTTGCAACTGGAAGAATTATGTAATGGGATGAGATCATACCCTTAGCTGGACTGCCACTGTGGTGGGTCCACAACGCTCTAGTCGCTGGAGGAAGGAGCTGGAGCCCTTTTTCTTCAAGATCTGGAAGCAGGAAGCGATAATACAGGAACTTGTTAGACAGATGAACCTCTGGAAGGGGCCATTGATGAATATGGAACATTATCATCACATATCATCAAATTTGTGCAGCCTTAATAAAACCATGTTGATATCTTTGATAATTGGTGTGGTTCTTGCAATCAGATTAAATATGTAGCATATATAGAATTCAGACACAGTTATGATTTGTCATATGTAAGAAGAGGTTCAGTGCTTTACTGTTATATTTACAGGCTTATACACCGAGCAGCAAAACAATATTGCCTAGTGTTACCGTATAAGGCTGCTGGGACAGATCAGTGAGGTTAAAGGGGCCTTATATAAGCCTTTGCTCTAGATGGCTAATGAGCCACAGAAACAGCCGACAGGGCCTCCTGAAGGTTATACAACCAGCAATCACATATGTGCACCACTACACTGTACTTTCAAAACATTGAAACAGATAAAATAAAGAGGGAAAAACAGCTGACCAAAGAGACTTGGGACACAGGTGTGCTTTTTTGTGTTTTGAGAAAAGTGTATAAACACACTAATGCCCCCAGTTCATGTGCACGTGTATACATTCTTGAGGAGCTTTTATCTCTTGCAGGGCTGCACAAACAAATCTAATTCCCAGATGTTTATATATATAGCAATGTGGTGGGAAGAAGCCTAAATTAGACTTTTTTTGTGCCTGAAAAATACAACCCCAGTTTTTCCATCGATTAATTTTAGTGGTAACTTTACAGCAGAGATTTCTGGGTAAACATGTCACCAAGTTCTATTTTCTAATATGCAGTTGAAATGGGAGTGGCCATGTAATATTTTAGTTTACTTAAATCTAGTGGTCACGCACTAAAAATACTATAAAGGTGAACTGATGTCAGTGTATTGGCTCAAGTGTAGGGTGTAGCCACAGTAGTGGACTCATCCCACTGTGTGCAAGGTACCGTACCTTGGTAAGATCATGGTACCTCCGGGGCTGTTGGGGGATTGAGCTAGCACTCACAAGGGAGACTGATGGTATCCTGTGGAGCAACAAGGCAGCTTTAGGCCCCCTCAGCCCTATGCAGCTCCGGGCTGCTGGCACCAAGGAACCAGTCTGAGTCAGCTTTGACTGGAAGAGCTGCTGCAGCAACACACTCTCACTGGCTGCCGGGCACAAAGCACATACATGCAGAGAGGGAGGAAAACATAAGGGTAAGAGAAGCAATAGCATTGGTTGAAAAAGTGGGTGGAAGAGAATATGGAGAGGTGAGAAAGAAAGAAAGAAAGAAAGAAAGAAAGAAAGAAAGAAAGAAAGAAAGAAAGAAAGAAAGAAAAATGAACAAGGACAGAGAGAAAAATAGTGGAGGAGTGTAAGCAGGGAGGACGCATAAAATTAATCTGCATGTAAACAACAATCAGTTAGGCAACAAGAGGGGGTGGACCATGTCACTCTATAACACGTGGAGCGATTCGCAACAACAATGAGCTCATTCAGAAAGCCAAACAACATGTGTGTGAACGTGGGTGTGTGGCTCTAATCTGAAAGGCTGAGAAAGACACAGAAAAAAAGGAAAGAGAGAGCGAGGGAGTGGTGGTAAAGGATGGTGGCAGTTAAGCAAATAAAAAACAAGACTTATTTCAGGACTTAAATACTAAAAGCTCCAAGCTAATTGCCTTTTCATTCATGGCAATCACTTCGATCATCTGAATAATCCATGTAGCTTTGTCTCGATCAATAATTTATTTTGAAAGAAAAATCTGGAAACAGTTTTTTGTTCTTAACTAAAAGGTTTTTTCACTCATTTTAAAGAAAAATATAAATCAGAGCAGTTGGTGACACAAAACAGACACCAGGATTGCTTTTTTTTGTTTCATTTTTGGTGTAAAATGACAGACAATGACACAATTACTAACCAAGTGACGATGATTATATTCAAATGTATCATTTTTTATAAACAGCTCACACGCTATATTAAAAAAATATGCAGGAGTGTTTAGTTTTATCACATTTATGGACACATCATCAAGGGTTGGGTAGATTAACAGGAGCTGTCTAGGTAGACTTCATTCACTTGGCAGTTTGCACTTAAATCTCTACTCTTGTTTTTTATTGGCTCTCTTGTTTCAATTTACACTGCCTCTTGTCTGCCAAACAAATCAGTGCACTTTGCTCTAAGTGACCTGAGTCTGCCATGACTGCCGCAGGAGCAGATGATCATGTTGTAGCACAAGAACACCGGCAGTGCATAAAATTCATTCTTTTCTTTCTGAAAGTAAACCATAACTCTATTGCGGCTGTAAAGTATAAAGATTGTTAACCACTTTGACTTTTATACTTTGAAAAACTAGTTAAAATATCTATATAACTTTTTAAAATTATAACAGCGTAACTAGCAATTTATAGCCTATTACATTTCATGAGTAACCTTTTTCAACACTGCCGTGCTCCTGTTTTCCAAACCGTGGTATAGTGCATGTAAAATTACAAGAGCAAGAGCTGTTGCCCCCACTAAGAGGGGCTAAACCCTTAAGTGAGTGCTTCTGTGAAGAGCAAACAAAGGTTAAGTGAATAGCTAGCCAGAAACATGAAACAGTATACTGCAAAATGTCTGAGCATTCTGCAGAATTATAAACAAGGGAAGATAATAATAAAGAGTCTTTGTGTGCAAACACTCGCATAGCTTAATCAGCCTACCATCTTTGTAATGAAATCTCATAAGACATATCTGCGAAATGGAACGGTTCAAACATTAAACATGTATCCAAATTATGTAACCTTTTTTTAAATACCCAATTCAATTTTAAGAACCCAATTATATGTAAAAAGTCATAATTTCCACCTTTAAAATGCTGTTACAAACATCCACTTATTCTTACAGTTGGTGTTTTGTTTCAAAAATGGAGATAAGCTACATGGATTCAGAACACTGAACTACACTACGAACATTTTGGGCACACTGTTTTGGTTTTGAGTCAAAGAGCAATAAGAACAACAAACATAAAGAGCTCTCTACAGCAACAGTGAGAAAAACAAGGAATAAATCTTGCATTTTTTTCAGGTAAACTGATTATAAAAACATTCAGGGCATTATTTTTAGATCATCTTCACCCTATATCCACAGCCTACAATTTCATGTAATAATGCACATAGCAGACACTTTGGTCCTTTTAACTTCAAGCCCTAAACAAGAAGTGACGAGAGGATTCCACCTAAAAGAAAAAAAACACATTGTTTATGTCTCAGTGTGGATGAAAGGCAGCGATGCATCGACCTGTCAGATGGAGGGATAACAGCCAAGTCTAAGAGACGAGCTAGCCTTTAGAAGATTAGCCTCATCATGGAAATTATAGCAATTAGGCTTCTGGACACGAGGCTAGCCTGGCAGTCACACAGCGAGTCCCTGTGTCCTGCTAACCACAACAACTCACATCTGGCACTTTCTATAGACAATATACACACAGACGGTGCTGTCTGCTGCACAGGGGATGAAACACACATATAAAAACACAACCACATTTGGACAACGAGTGGTTTTGTGTGCTGTTTGTTTACACAAGAGTGCGTCTTTGTAATGAAGCGCGTGCTGACGCCACAATGTGCACGCATGTCTGTTATTCATTGGGTACTTACACTTAATCGTAAACAGGAGATTCTGAGGAAGAGAGTCCTTGTTTTTTGTGAGCGATCCTGTGAGGTTGTATGAAATCTGGCAGAAAAAAAAAACAAATAAATACAAATCAAGAAATATATACTTACCTAGTATAAAAAAATATTCCATTATATTTATTCTTTCAGTTCATATCTCGCAAATGTGCTATGAACCACAGATACAGACAAACAGGCCCAGTAACTGGCTGGTCCTTTAGTGGTCGCCATAGTGGATCACCTGCCTCAATATCGCCCTTTCTCTAGCATTCTCCTTCTGTCGGGCCAATCCTCCTTCATTGCATCCATGAACCTTCTGTGTGGTCCAATATAACCACCATCCCTCCTCTGCACATGTCCAAACCATCTCAGCCTTGCCTCATTTCTAAGATGTACCGTTTCCAGCTTGGCCTCCTGTCTTTTTTCAGTGCCACCATCTCCATGATGAGAACTGAGCTGGTCTTGCTACCAACCTAACCTTTTACTCTTGTTTCCATCTTTATGTCACAAATCTGACACTCATCTCAATCAACTCCATCCTACCTGTGCTATCATCATTAGCTCTCTTGTGCACCGGCTGTTGCTTTGGATGGTTGACCCCAGGTATTTAAACTCCTCACTACCTCTCTCCTTGCTTGCTCACTGTTACACCTGCTTCCATCTCATTAACACATGTGTTCTGCTTTGCTTCTATTGACTTCCATTCCTCTTCTCTCCAGAGCATACTTTCACCTTTAGTCTCTCTTCCATCTGCTCCCAACTCTCATCACAGATCACAATGTTGTCTGCAAACATCGCAGTCCACACTCCCGCGCGACCTCATCTGTCAGCCTGTCCATCACCATCACAAACAACAAGGGGCTCAGTGCCGACCCCTGGTGTAATCCCACCCCCATCTTAAACCCATCTGTCACTACTACTGCACACCATACCACTTTATGGCTGTCCTCATACATGTCCTGCACCTCCCTCACATACTTCATGTGCCACTCCAGACTTTCTCATGCGGTACTATAGTTTCTCACTTGGCACTCTTTCACATGCTTTTTCTAGATTCACAAATCCATTCTGCATACGTCTCCATCAACACTCTCAAAGCAAACATCACATCTATAGTTCTCTTTCTTGGCATGAAGCCATACTGCTGCTCACTGATCATCATCTCTCGTCTTCACCTAGCTTCAGCGACTCATTCCTATGTCTTGGTATGAGTCATCACCTCTTTCCCTCTGTAAATTCTGCACATCACCCTTATGCTTGAAAACTGACACCAGTACATTTCTCTTCTCACACACATCTTCCTCAGGCATCCTCTCACTCTCAATCTCCTCTCACTGTATAAAACAATGTGCTCAAAAAGACATCCTAGACATCGCCACACCTCCACAAGTATGTCATCTGGACTAACTGCGTTTCTAACATTCATGCATTCATGCATAGCTGCCCTCACTTCATCCTCATTAATCCTTTGCAAAATCTACTGAAATAAAATCGCCATACACACACAGACCTGTCCTGCATAGTGGCTGACAATAAAGGCTGGGCCTTGGTCTTTCGGTGGGGGGTTCCCATTGCCATCCTTGGTAGTGAGAGACAGCCCATGAATTTGGTTGGAGTCCAACTGGGCAGAGAGCCTCTTGTACAAGGTCTGCTCTAATGGCCGCAGGCTCTGGCTCTCCTCATCTAACACGCACAACAGCCCCTGGGGCTTCTGGAGGAGGAACAAACAGATGTTCACATTATCATTTATTTAGGAGATATTTACAAGCACTAAGCAATAACAGTAATCCATATTTTGTGACACTTCCAGAGAGCCACATAGGATATTTTTTTTCGTGTGACATGAAGGAGATTCAGTGATATTATTTGATTTAGAGATTTCTCGCACCAATTAGAACAGAGGCAGACAGTTGGCGTAGAGGGGCATTAGCAGTTATGTTTATATAGACTTTTTGAACATGTTATGTTTTTGCCTTTTGTCTCAATTAAAACATCAAGACTTTAACTGTGTACATTAGAAAACTGAATAATTGTGATTCCAAAAGTTAGGTCGGGAAAGTGTGGTTGGGATTGTTGCATTACATAATGTCAGATCAAACTGGACTGGACTGGTCCAAACTAGAAGCATACAGTACCTGAAAAAAGAAGTCCAGAATGGCTGGGTGGTTTCTGGGAGAGCGTGCGTTCTCCATGGCGATGCCCTCCTGCAGACACTCAGCCTGCTCCTGCTGGAATAGCACCTCAGAGACGTACTGCCTCAGCCGCTCATTGGTCATGTTCACACACAGCTGGAATGCACAGAGCACACACACACCAGCATGTAAACACTCTTCAGCATGCATGGCTGACGTTCATCAGAGAGATGCTGCTGAATGCTTATGTTTAAAGAACAAAAATGCTCACAATGCTGGACACAATCGGCTGCTAGGGGCATAAATGAGCTGACTTCTCTTGTAACAGCTGACCAGTAAACTATTACAAATGTCTGACACCTTGGTGTAGACTAAAGTTTAATGCCAGAAAATGGGATTCCTGGGAAATCCTAGCAAGATTATTTCCCCAGTTCCCAGGAAATGTAAAGATAGAGAAAAAATTAACTTGAGTGCGGTTTATTAAAAAATGTAGCCTGTTAATGAATACAAAGCGTTTGGGGTCAATAGCACATGTTCCAACTTCTGAGTTGACACTGTGGGATTGCATTTCCACGGTAACACATTTTGTATGGTGCGGCCTTGTTTATGCACACATCCAGAAGAAGAAAAAAAGTGAGTGCAAAATGAACAAATGTGACTAAAAGAAATGATGCCTGTTGTTGCAAGTTCATTTTTGCACCACTATACATTTTTATATGCTCAAAATGTTATAAACCAAAAAGAAATAGATTAGTCTGTCCTGTCCTAATATTATCTCTGCTAACTTCAAGTGAGTGTTCATTGATTTTACTAGGCTACGATTTATTGCTTTGTTGTTATAGCAGGTAGTCTACTTTGCACCTGTAGTGTTGCCATATTACTTAGTTCATGCAGCATGCTGGATGCGAATGTAGTTTGCATTTATATTAATGTTGGCTAACATTAATTGTCTATTTTGCCTTAATAATAAGCAGAAAAATACGTAGAAAATGTCATTGTGAACACATGCATGCCCGATTATCCATGGTGTATTAGAGCTGCTTTAAATACCCAGAGTTTAGCTGAAGTTATTAAAAAGAAACATGTTTAAGTCCCTGGATTCCTGGGAAAACTGAAGATGAATTTTCCCAGGAATCCCAGAAAATAAAAACACTTTGCAGTTTATTGTAAACACATGACAAAAAAAGATTGAAAGAGATTGTGAAACATCTATAAACATCTATAAAACATGTGTAACACTAATTATATGCAGGTCTTGGTTGAGCTTACTGAGCACGATTATGATGCGACTGTACTCCTGAACAATGCAACTGTCATATCTAACAGAAGCACTGCAGATGCAAATCATCTGTGGCCTATTGATGGCTACTGTTAATAGGAGCACCAGAGTAACCAGAGACATATCCATAGCATCGTAAATTCAATAACAAATGCAGTTAAAGTCCGAGCAGCACTCACTGCCACAGCCGCAATTTCAATAGGTACAGACCACTCAAAGGTACTCAGGGCCAGCTACATACTGTCATAGCTTGCCCTTTTAATAGGAATAATGAGAAGCAGGATAGAGTGGTCAACCTGCAGTGCAAAGTGTCACATCAACTCTCCTTTCTATAGTTTCTCTGGGTTGGCAGTGTACTATAACTGGACTAGTCCAAGGCAGAAACTACTCCAATACAGCAGAAGTAAAATATCACAATAATTATAGGATATTAGGATAAAATCTGATTTGCTGAATGCATTGTAATGCATGTAATCATTAACTAACAGGCGTAATATATTTTTCATGGTGCAGGCGGTCCCATCTTCAGTCTATTCTTTTACTCCAAGCTAGTTTAGTCCATTAACAGCTTAGCCCCAGCAGGTGGTTGATTGAGTTAGCTCATTAGCAAAGTGTTGAGCAGGTACAACACATCCCTGGCAAATACAGTTCTAATTAACAAGTTCTAATGACCCCGATCCTTGTGCGCATGTGGAGCGTGCTCGGGTACGTTGCTGCATATGTGTGCACATGTGTGTACAAACATGTCAGAGCTTGTTTGTCACTGAAGTGCCACGTCTACTGTACGAGGTCATTGTGTTTATCCGGAACTTGCCCCTCCTCTTCCCTCTTCTGTGGGTTTAGTGTCTGATGAAAGAAAGCATGCAGTGCCAGACACACAGTAGTTTTTCCTCTCGCTTTTTTTTTTTTTAGATTTTCTTATCCTGTTACTTTCTTTTCTCTTCTGGCACTTTCCATGACTTAAATAGAAAAGGTGAAATAATCCCTCACCTCCATTTGGACTGGAAAAAAATCCAGATGGGCTAGGCCACTGTTATCTTAGTGACAGACACACACACTCATACAAAGCAAATACAAACAGACACTCTCTTAATAAAAGCTGTGAAAAACTAGTAGCTCCACAGGGAGGAAGTGTGAGCTCTCAGTAGCAGAAATAAGCACTTAGCCTCTTGAGCACTATGAATTACACTCTGAGGCTCCGGACACACGCACGCACGCACGCACGCACGCACGCACGCACGCACGCACGCACACACACACACACACACACAGAAACTTGTCTTGTCTGTCTGATCCCTGCTGATCTTACAACTGAGTAGTCTATTAACAGTGCATGCCTGATGAGAACATGGCAGATTTACAGCCTATAGCAGGTGAGCTGTATACAGCGGCACATGTTGCACTTCGCAGACTTCACAATCTATAGAACCAAAGATGGCAGACATGCTGAGCAGCCTGTGCATGCAAATGTATGTATATATACAAACATGTATTCCAAAGCTTCCTTGCCACAGCAGGTAGCTCCACGTGTTTCATTTGGCTGAATTTTAAACCAGATATGTTTCCTGACACAGTCTCAAAGGGCATTTCTGAAGCAACCTTATGTTAACTACTATACTATAGGAACCACAATACATCAGATACATAGAAACATTAAAAATAAATAATATAGTGATGTCTCAAACATGAGATGCAGGACTTTAAAAACCCTGTTTTTAAAAAAGGAGTAGTTTATGTGCCAGTTTCAGGTACACCACTGTTACACACTAAGCAAATCTGCTTGTCTTCATAGATAGACTTCTTAATATTAAATATTAAGAAAACTTTACTCATAAACCAAAACTAAAAGTCATGCACTTACGTAAATATGGAATTATTTACTAATGTTTCTGGTAGTGAGCAATAATTACACCGCCTGTTACTAATGTAGCCATATCTGGGTGCAAAAATAAAAAATAAATGGGATCAACTATTCTGGACTAAGATTAACTTGATTCAATAGCCTGTACTGGCAAGTAATGTAATGCCAAATATATAAAGTTGTATTTTATTAAAAACAGGTTTTGTATTCCTCACACACACACACACACACACACACACACCCACATGGTGGTTTGAGGCTGCCTATTACACTAACCTGTTGCACAGAGACAGACACTGTGTCAGCCATTGGTTCATTGGAGGACAGATGAAAATCACGCCACAGTCAGCCACAGACCTCACCACATTCATTACAATTACAGACAAAAATGTCCGGGCTAAAACAGATAAGAACTCCAAATATTTTAAAAATTTGATTAGGATCACATACAGTACCATTCAGAGATATTTCAATAGCAGAGAACGGCCACAGGGGATGCATTTGGCTCGATTAGGCGGAATAATCACACAGCGTAAAGGGACGAGGAACATAATAGCAATGTTTTGGTTTTTTGGCTGAATTTTAAAACAGAAAGCACTGTCCCACCTGCTCAAATCCATTCTTCTGAAATTCTTCAAACCCAAATATGTCCAAGATCCCAATCTCCCAAGCAGGATCACTGGAACAAAGAAATGAATGTTACTTATTAAATAGCCACTTTTATTTTTCCCGAGTCAACATGAGAAAAGTGTTGCTTATGTCACTAACGAGACATTTCATTCTATTGTGTCTGCGCGCGTGCGTGTGTGCGCGTGTATGCGCATGTGTGGGCAATAAAATCTGAAAGGGGTGTGCCACGAGTGTGTGGCTGACAAATTTATTACATTCTGTGGCTGGTGTGTAAACAAGGCAGCTCACAAACACATTCCAGAAGATCTAGCGCAGGTTATCAGAGTGTGATAAGGCTTCACAACATCAACAACACCAAGGATCCTATGTCCTTCACCTGGGTGTGTGTGAACGCAAGTTGTTTTTTGTGTGTATTTGAGGCCTCCATTTAAAAAAAAGAGCCTTGGATGTGTCCTCCATCTCTAACCTGTTGGTTCAATACACAGATTTTAGTCTACAAGTTTATTTAAATGTTTATCTCTGCTCTAAACTAAGGATTACTTTACAGTATTAGTGTTAGTCACTCCAGTTTACACAAATGAGTGATTGCTTTTGGAAATCTGTCATTTCAAAGGTTTTTATTGTGGTGTGTCGCGGAAACACATCTAGACACAGACACCACACACCACTCTATACCTGATGGTGTCATCTTGTCCCTGAAGGTAGTCGTTGATATTGTTGACCAGATAACTGAAGAGGCGCCCATAGATGGCTTTGGCAAGCTGGTCCCTGTACTGCTCTGACATCTCTACTGTGTGACGCCGAGTGATCACATCACCTGCACAAAGGCACAAAATACAGTTTCTGGTATTTGACAGATGGGGTTTTTACACTTTTCTTTCTTTAAAAGGTTAAATCTCCTTAGGGCTATGAATACTACTAGTGGTGTAACGGATCACGGTTGATTCGTAATCCGAACTGATCCCACTCCACGGTTCGGCACGCACGTGATCCGAAGATTCGAAAAAGAAGAAAAAAAAGTATGCGTATGGTGGCGTGGTGGGTCTATCAAGCGATAGTTATGGTCAGTGCTAGCGGTCCAAGTGGAGGAGCAGAGGAGTTTACGGTATTTAAGCAGCCCTTTGCTGCCCAATCCGACCGGGCTAAAGCTATTACAAAAGCTATTGGGGTGTTTAGCTGCAGACGGGAGGCCGTATTCCGTTGTGCAAGACAAGGGGTTTAAACTATGATGCTTGAGCCACGCCATGATATCCCGTTGCACGTCCACTTTAGTGGCAAGCATGTATGAACAGGAAAAGATTTAAGTTATGGCTGAACTGTCCCAGGCATCTTCTGTTGCCCTAACTACTACAAATGGGTGGATCTCCAGGGCAATGGAAAGCTATGTGACCATGACAGCTCATTATATCACAGTGGAGTGCGATATAATGAACGTTGTATTATTGTAGGGTCTACCTTACAATATAAAGCGCCTTGAGGGGATTGTTGTTGTGATTTGGCGCTGTATAAATAAAACTGAATTGAATTGAGTGGTAGATACAAAAACTGTACTGCCCTATATTGTACCATTATTTTTTTTTAATAATTGCGTGGAATGAGTTTTGAGTTGAATGTTTTTAACAGGCAAAAAATACTTCTATAGTAAATGTTAAAATTTTGTGTTTTTTCTTTTTTTGCTGATTCGAAAATTGATCCAATCCGTGACTTTTGATCCGTTGCACCACTAAATACTACTTATCTCTCTATGCCCTCTCTCTTGAGGACTCCAAAGACAGTCCCAGGATAGAAGAGATATACAGATTTTTGACATATTAACAGAAAACCCTTCAAATTTGACGCCTACATCAGGGATATTCTGTAAGGGGTATTTCCCAAGCATGGTCTGGGTCAATTTATCCCTTTGGGGGAAGGACCATTGTAAAGCCATAGTAAAGTTATTTTGGGTGATTATTTGATTGTGCGCTGAAGCATTTCCATCCTGATGAATGTGGTCTCTTCAAGGATGACAATGCCCCTTATCCATATGGTACCACGGCTCACTGAAAGGTTGGACGAAAATAATGCGAATCATGCACAAGAAAAGGCTGATAAAGCAATACCTTTGAAATACTGAACATCAGAGGTGAGGGCGGTGCTTAAGTCACTGGAGGATACCTGCAATAATCCAGAAACTGTTGCAAGGAAGAAAAAGAGAGAGGGAGCAAGGAAGAGGCAAAGTAAATGACAGTGACACAGTGACAGGTTAAAAAAGCATCAAAATAACGCCATTAAATGTAAACCGAGCATCAGAAAGATAGGGATGATAACATCCCAGAGCCCACTGCTCTGATGATGATATCACACTGACAGCATAACAGCCTGAACTCTGCTAAAGCTCATTCCCGTTTAACCGATCGATGAAGCTGGCAGCAATTAGTCATCATTGGATTTCTGAGCAGAACCCATCAACAAGCAGCAAAAACAGGTGACAGCAACCCTTCGCTGACATCACTAACCGTAACAATACATCTCCAAGGTAACAATGTCTCCTTCCCAATCAGGTGCTGATGTGATTTGTTTACATCAAACATGTGCTAGCCCTGTCCCTGATGACGGAGAAATCTGTACATGTACATTTCGTTTTCAGTGTGGATACCAAACAGGAAACTGCCTGGCCTTCAGCTATTGCTGGCAAGCTGCCAAGAAGACTACTCTAAGGGAGGATGAGGGAGGCACTCTGACAGCAAGGTAAATAGAATGAGTTAGTGAGATCCACCCCTCCTCCATTGCCTAGTTCCACCTCCTCTAAGGGTGGAAATGTGGCCCTGGTGATGGCATAAGCACTGACCTCTCTCCAGCAGCTGCAGGTCGGAAGGGAAGGCTGTGTCAGCATCTGTCAGTGCTGTGAAACGCAGGTCCCCGATATGGAGCACAGCAGAAAGCAGCGTAAATACTGTGTCAACCTCCTAGCAGCGAAAGAGAGAGAGAGACAGGAGAAAGTTGAGAGAATATGATATTAACTACAATCTTTAACTACTAATTAAAAACTATATGAAACGGTTATCAAATCCAACCTTTTTCAGAGGGACATGAGTCTTTATTTGATGTCAACTTCATGATCCTAGTGATCCTTCTAACAAGCCCACGGAGCCAAAGCCTTATTAAGTTCAGTCCTCTTTGCCCCAGACCTCCAATTAATCTCACTTCTATAATTCAGTGGCCAGGTTCGCTCATTACCTTGATCCCTGGTGGTGAAGATAGTGTGGAATAAACGTGCTAGTTTTTTTTATTTTAAGGTATGCATAAATCAACAGCTTAAAAATGCTGCCCTTAAATTAAGCGCACATCCTGTTATGTCTGTGCTGTGTATCCTCTAGCTTCAGCCCCACTTCAAACAGTTTCATGCTGCACACCACACTCATTTTAAAAAACAAACAATCTCTTTTCAGATCAGCATATCATCACCAGTTAAAAAGCAATCTCTATCCTTAACGAAGCGCCTGAAAATGTGTATCACATGACCATTTATACATGTAGGCAGTTGGCGTATGATCAAATATAGAATTTGACTGGATAGCGATCTGGCAGCATAGAAAAAAAGGGTAGCAATGTCTGTCATTTGTAAGCATTTGTAATCAAGGTTGACGGCTGTGTGACAAATGAGCGAACAACACAAACTGTCAATGCACGATTGTTTCCAAAAGTTTCAGCGTCTACCTGTCCAGCCTGAGGGCAATACCAACGTATTTTAGATTTAAAGCATCCACCTCTTGCTACTGTTATGAGTCACTCTCTGAATCACTCTCTGACTTTGAAAAATGCTGCTGATTGTCTGGACTAACTGGAGCAGCATGGAGATTTTGGAAATGATGCAGACACCTACATTCACTTCCAGTGTTCAGTCATTTCAGCATGCAAATCAAAGTAGAATACATTGCGTTAATTCACATGCACATTGTATGATAATTCCACCATGAGCTGTTAGTTCAGCATAGAGATGATAAACGGTAAGTAAAAGATGTTTATTTTACTGATGTATGCTTATGGTTAGGGTTAGGGTTACTGCTGGTCTCACAGCATATGGTTGTCTAACAAATATCGCTCACTTTGTGCTACACGTATGCCGATATGACAATGTATGAACAGAACACCGTATTGAATCACGTCACAAAACTTAAGCCAAGAAGCACTTTAATTCTGTCTGTCTGAGCGCTGCTATACCACTGCTCAGCAGCTACTCATGTGTTCACACGATCGTCCTCCAAAGAAATATCTGGTTTTACTTTCTGTTCTTCTTCTTTAGAGTCTTATATAAGCAAGCAACGTGTGACTCCTGTTTATGCCAACAGATACTGAGTGTGCATGTATAGTCATGTATAGATATGTGTTTACAGGCATGTTAGTACACAGTGAGATTGTTCCTGAAGCAGTTGCCTTAATGGAAACCACTTTCATTTTAAAATGTTTTTATTTTAATTTAATTTAAACATACTAGAACATGTGTGGTTGTGGTTTGGAATGGAATCCTGGAGGTTTGAAATAATTTTGCTTTTTTTAATGTTTATTTTCTTTTAGCAGCAATGATAGAGCTGAGAGTATGGGTAATATTTGGGAGATATAAAAAGACTGGCCTATACGCTGTTTTCATTATCTTTGTCTCTTTTTTGCTAACAAGCAAAATGCAAAATGCAAATAAACAGCACAAATATCAGGAAATTCAACAATTATGATTCAGAGGTCCTCCTAACTCGATTCACCCGCTTCTCTTCCTCTGTGCCCTTGAGTAGAGGACGCTTAATGGAATACCCCATTAAACAATGCACTGAATCTCTGAGAGGGGGATGTCTGAGTTTGAGGATGTGTGCTTGTGTACATGCGAATATGTCTGCGAGTGTACTCTTTCCAGGCAGGATATTGGAGCTGATATCTCTGAGATAAACAAGCATTAGTCTCTGTCTGACACTCTATACATGGAAAGACCCTTCCGCTTAGGGAGCAGAAGAAAGAGAGCAGGGGAGAGAAAAGGCGCTGCGGGGAGCGTTAATGACAGTTGACCTTTGGTTCTGGACTGGGAGCCATCCCCTGATGAGAGCTTAGACAGAGACCAATGGGGGGTCTATCACTTCCCTCCTACTACCCCACCCCTTCTTCTGTCCCTTGGTCCTTCGCTTATCCAGAGGACAGTAATGCCCTCTGATAATACCACTATCTATTGCTCTATCCCTCTGTCCCTTATGCCTTGTCTGTGACTGCTACTGAATTAAAAGGTGAGATGATGGTCACTCAGTGCTGATAGATGCTGACTGGAATCTAAGTATAGAACCTGATAATGGGCTGGGAGCACAGCTGGTGGTGGACAGGACGGACTGTACCAGTGACCACTGCACGCACTCTGTAAGCATAAATCAATGTCTCCTCAACTATTCAATTCTATTCAATCCAGGTTTATTTATATAGCGCCAAAACACAACAACAGTCATCTCAAGGTGCTTGATACTGAGAGGCAGAGACCCCACAATAGAAAACCCCAATGACCCTCTATTAACAGGCAGTTTGCAAAGGTGGAAAGGAAAAACTTGATTTTCATAAGAAGAAACCTCCGTCAGATACAGGCTCAGGGAGGGGCAGCCATGTGCTATGACAGAATGGGGTGTGTTTGGTCACATACATTTCATGCTTTCTGTAGACAGATGCTTCATGAAATTTTTCAAGGATTTTAACTGCAAATACACAAATTCTTGGTGCTTGGCGGCCCTCTTTATCCCTCAATTCATTATTTCATGCAATCAAGAATCAAGCTACCTGTATCTTTTTCATTATTTAACAGGAATAACAGGATATCTGTTTGAAATATTTCACCTTACAGATGAACCAAAGCCAGACGGTTAATTCTACTCGCAAAGTATGATGAACCGGAAGGTTCAGCCTACAGTTTTAGGTCCGCCTAAAGCCCTTGGAGTTCCATCGCCTGGTTTCAGGCAGCTGCATTCTCAGAAAAGAAAATCTGATGTAATATCTCATCAGTGACCTGTGTGGCTTGTGCCTTCAAGGCCTGTGACACGACAACGTTTATTTCTCCCTGCTGTCAGTAACCTTTGGCTCAACACCATGCTGTGCAGCTGTGCAAATCAATACCTGCTTGTTGAAGCTGAGGGCTCGCAGGGCTTGTTTGACTGCTGCAAGATGTTCTCTACTCTGGGTAGAGGCTGTAGCTACTGGAGGGTTCTCCCCTGGAAGTCTTCCGCTAATATACCTGCAGTACGGACGTAAAAACACAACCTATAGTGAAGGATACTCATAAAATAAAGCTATTTTTAATAAGTGACACATATTATTTTTATGGACAGGACACCATATATGCGTGTATTATATCAAGGCTTGTGTGAACTGTAGCTTGTGAGATCAAAATTTTTAGCAGCAACATAACCGACAGTCATTTTTACAACGTATTAAATCATTTAGTAATATAGAACATATAAAGCCCGTGACAGCCGCATACCTATGAGCCAAGACGTTGTTGAGGTAAAGTGCACTCTTCTCCTCAGCTGAAAGGCCCTCAGCCATCAAATAGAAGATTTTGAAGCTGTGTTGTTGAGCAGGCAGGTGGACTAGACGGGACTTCTCCAGCATATAGGTGTATACATGGGCTTAAACATTAAATTGTGATCATAATTCAGTAACAGGGGAGTCCAAATCCCTTTTTTACAAAGGCAGTTGTGAAAAATGTAAATCTGTGGCCACTACTGACAGACCAGTCGACAGGTATCAAATAAACTGGAGTAAAAGAAAAAAAAAAAGGTGATTCACATAAAAAGAAACAGACATATAGGATTTTGCTGCCCTCTGCTGGTGTGCAACTGATCTTGAAGAAAGTGGATTTAATAGTAGAGTATCTTAATCACAAATACAGTGGCTGAGAATGTGAAAACAATGGAAATTTACTCTGTTATTTTGACAAGAATTTTAATATTCAAGAATAAATGTGTGGAACAAAAATGGTAAATATTTTATTTTGTGTGAATCGAATCAGAACAGAGACATTCTGATTGAAGTTTTTTGTTTTGGTACGTGCAACAGAGTCACATCCAGCACTATGGTTGTGTGAAATGCAGGTTACCTCTGAGTGGTGTCTTCCTCTTATCACAGTATTGGATCGTCAGCAGCTTGATAAAGCGGCTTGAGTTGCTGTTCCTCTGGGTCTTAGCGTGGCCAAAGGCTTCCAGTACACAGTTGACCTGCATTTCCCATCAATCATATGACATTATGGTCTCTTAGAATTCCTTTATTATCTCTATATATCTATTACTTACTTAAAGCCCTGCTTCCACTTTCTACCACTAGATGTCAGTGTACATCCATTATTTGAGCACTCAAAACAGCATGCTACCAGAATTATAAGAGCAAGCTGACCCAGATATTAACTGCATAACGATGACTTCATCCAAACCCAGGACTCCCAGGCTACATGCTGTTTTGTTACACATAGTTACATGACTGACAAACTAACTGGAAGACGGAGTGAGTGCAGCTCAGGTGCCTCACGTTTTAAACGCCTTCAACAAATCTGAACCACAGCAACTGGAAACACAACAAGAATCTGAATCCTTCACGAGGTGAAGGCTTTCGCCTTTCAGGACACTTAATTCCTGAACTTGCTTAGAAGCTTTTATGTTTCAGTAAAAAAACAAACAAAACTTCAGTACATATATATTTTTTGTCTATCTGTCTTATCTCTTCTTTGGCATTCTTAGCTGTAGCCTCTCCAGATTCACAAGAACATATCCTATTAAGGGCATGTGATCATTAGTGCTCTACAGTCATTTTTTTAAACAATCCCTCTTCAGGCTGTAAGTGTTTATGATGCCATCAAACAGTTTATTAATGCGCAAATGGTTTATCTGACAAATGAAGAGCTAACAAGCAGAGAAGAAAAGACTACAGTACTGTGATATGCTAATCCATACATTTATTATTTCCCCTGCCACAGCGACAGAGGAACAGTAGGATATATTCACACAGTTATGAGCACTGCTTCGCTGTGTGCTATGTTATTTTGGAGGAGTTTTTTTTAAATCACAGGGACTGCAGGAAAAAGAAGTAATAAGCACAGTGAGACATAAGCATCAGGAAAACGCACAAACATTAAGTTTGTCAGTGGATTAGTATGGCAGCATTTTGCCGTTGCGAAAAACAAATGATACATGACTGCTTAGTCACACATGCAGCACATGGTCCTTCGTTATGACAGGCTGCAGGACACCCAACCTGCTGACTGACTGAAGTGTAAAAGAAAAGAAAAGCTTGTAGACAGATAAGTCCTAACTTACATGTTTCATTCTGGGCTCTAGCATAAAGCCTTTGGTGTTGGAGCGGGCTGTCAGGTGTCTCACTATGTGCTTGCACGCCTCTGTTTTTCCAGAGCCACTCTCGCCACTATGGAACCAAAGGGAGAGACAAAAGATGCAGATTTAAAGTCATTTATATCTCTGGTGGTACTAATAATAAAATAATTAATATTATTACTGTTTTTCAGGGCACAAGCTGATGGCTGGACGTACTCCTTCGGATGATCTGATATCCTCGTGTTGGTGTTGTTCCAAAATCATCATGAAAATGTTGTTCCAGGTTCAACATTGCAAGTGACCAATCACATTATTGTGACGTTATTCTTTTGCGCACCAACCCATTCGTGCATTTATGAAATTCCAATGTTGCAAGGACAATATCAATTCTGCTTAGCGTTTATTAAAGGGTTAGGGTCAGGGTTAGGGTCCGTTGATCGGCGGACAAAGGCGGTTTCTCGCAGCTTAAGTACAGTTTTTTGTTTTACGCCGGTTTTTCCCGAAGTCGCAAAAGTATGACATCACAACATTCTGATTGATCACTTGCAATGTCGATCCTGGAACAACCTTTAGTATGATGATCTGGGAACAACACCAACACGAGGATATCAGATCGTGCTACTCCTTCAGGCTTTCTAGCAGAGAGCAGACTTTGTGGTTCCATCATTTACAGCAGGTCATCCAGTTCATGAAGCAGCAAAGCATCCCCAGATCATCACACTACAACCACCATGTTTGGATGATGTTCTTTTTATTAAATGCTGTTTGTTTTTTACTACTTTCATGTCTTCCGTCCACAGAATATTTTCCAAAAATGTGAAAATATGTGAGACGAGCCTCCCATGAACGAGCCTCCCATGAATGACATCCCATGGATGCCATTTTTGCCCAGTCTCTTTCTTATTGTTCATTCATGAATTCTTGACTGAGATAAGTGAGGCCTGCAGTTTTTTAGATGTTGTTCTGAGTTCTTTTGTGACCTCCTGGATGAGTCGTTGATGCACTCTTAGAATAATTTTGTTAGGCCGTCTACTCCTGGGAAGGTTCACTGCTGTTCCAGCTTCTCTCCATTTGTAAATAATGGCTCTCACCGTGTTTCACTGGAGTCCCAAAGCCTTAGAAATAGCTTTGCAACTCTTTCCAGACTGATAGATGTCAATGACTGCTTCTCATCTGTCCTTGCGTTTCTTCAGATTGTGTCATTATGTGTTATTTTTTGAGATCTTTTAGCCTTCTTCACTTTATCATTTATTTAAGTGATTTCTTGATTCAAAAGGTCTGGCAGTAATTAGGGTTGAGTGACAAGCGATCTATCCATCTCGTGTATTTAAATGGGATTTTCTTTCTTTCTTTTTTTACAACAAATGAAAACAGAAAGAGTAATGGGAGCAACTTAACCTTTGTGATACACTGCTGTGTATGTGCCTTGGAAGAATAAGTATGACTTATTAGTCATCAAATTTCTACCTATTGACGTCATCCCTTTAGGGATTCCCTCCCATTAAATTCATAATCTGTTCTTTCAATAACGTTGCTCCACTGAGTCCCCCTTTTCGCACCACTAAGGTCACAACTTATCTGGCAGTGAGGTCCTGTTTTTAATTTTCTGTTGAGTGGATATTAAGTCTGACATAAGGTACCTCTACAGTACATGCACTGACACTCTCCGACATGCAGAGAGTTGCGACCCATATAGTAACACCAAGCAGATGGCTCGAGAAGGTCAGAAGCTTGTACTAATGACCGCAGTGTGCTGTATTACAGTTTGTCTATGTGTACGTGTGTCCCTTTGTTTCCTACTAACAACAGTGCTGAGTGTTAAGTTCAACGCTCTTTTCGCTTGTCTTTTCATTTACCAGTTTTTATTAGATTTCAAGGGCATTTTGTTAGAACACTTGCCTCGGGGGATCTTGGAGACTGATTGCCAATAAATGTGTATAAGTGTGTCTGTGCTTCGGAGCGTGTGCGTGCATGTGTGTACTTCAAGAAACAAGAAGAACCACAGTGAAACAGAAAGCTTGAACAAAAGCAAAACAAGAAGAGAAATGATAAAGGAAAGGACTGAGGGGACAAAGGATGCGTGTACATGTGAACAGTGCAAAGTTACTACGGCTCCGTGTGTGTGTGGGGGTGTGCATGTGAGTGAGATGGATAGCCTATGGCGAGGGTGCATTAAGTCTCTGCCAGATTGGTTACAACTCAGCAGGAATGTCACTGGAGAGTCGGAACAGGATTTAATTGCAATCAGGGAGCTGCCTGAGTCCAGTCGAGGACAAAGAACAAGACGCCGCATTGCTCCCAGTAAACATACATCGTAGTGTGAACACTGAACAAGCCTACAGCTCAGCTCAGGCTGAGAGCTATTAACCTCTCAGGGAGTGCTAAACAGGTGCGTGGCAGAGGGGTGCATACAACCAGGTGGCCGCTTTAACTTTCACTCACTATTATTCCCGCAGTCATTCAACTTTAGGGACTTTTTATGTTACATTATCCTGAAGCAGACCATTCAGTGACTGTACAAATGAATGAGCAGCAGGTGTACCTCAAGATGAAACACTGCGGGCGTTTCTCCTGCTGCATCATGTGATAAGCTCTTTCTGCTGAGGAGAAGATGTGAGGCGGCAGAGAAGAGCAAAGGCGACCCGTGGAGCTCAGGTACAACTGACTGACCTGAGGAAGAGAAGATGTTACATAAAACGGACACAAACATGGCCTAGCTAAGAGATAAGGATTCAGTTTCACCAAAACAGAGAAACCATACTGGGTATCACCTTCTGTGTGTGACTGTAATTGTGTATCAACTTCACAAAGAAGCGGTCTTTTACCATCCTGTTTAAGTCATTAGAATCTGTAGTTTTACACTACAATAATATTTATCAAAACCAAAATGAAAAATTGAAAAAAAATCCAAGAGGGATAAATAAGAAAACTTCTAGCTGTAACTATATGTCTCTGAGAGTATCTGTCCTATTAAACTGCGAGCCGACTGTAATGTCACAATGTGTGCCCTGTGCCAGTGTTAGTGGCTGTGGCAAAGGGGGATGGTTTTTGGACCACCAGACCAGAGGAGGTGACAGACGGCCAGCAGATCACACATGTTGTGACATATGTCCTTCTTACACTAGCTCCTCCCTGCCCCCTCACATCCTCTCAGCTGGGTATAGATGCCTGGAGTGAATCCAGACAGAGGCAAGAACGGGACAGCCAGAGAGGGGCTTGGCTTCATTCTGTCAGGGTAGCAGAAGATCCATGAAACCCCTCCTGGGATCCACATGGGCAAGCCTCTACCTGGCAGAAAGTCAGCTATTTCAAAATGAGCTAAGTGCTATTTAAAATAAACCAAAACCCTCTTTATTATGATTGGGCTCACATGTTAATAAAGAACTAAAGACCCATTACTGACATGCTTCTCTACTGGTTTATCGTAAATATGCTCTTTTTTTAAGGTGAGAGGTAGCGTGTATGAGTGTGCCTGAGTGCTTCTCTTTTCCGTGGCTGATGCACAGTCAGCCTTACGCAGGGTAACTGACAGGAAGACTGCATTATTTATCAACTACAAGGTCCATTTTATCTGCTTATTCCCTGCTTATTGTACTGCATACATGCCCCGTTTATCATAAACTTCCATAAGCATAGTATGTAGTTTGTCAAATATAAAGCCATGAATTTCAAGCGTGAGGCCAAATATGTGCACATACCTGTAAGGTCACTCAAATGCATTCTTACCAAAGTGGAATAGATGGGCAGCTCCTTGTTTGGATTGACCAGCAGAAGGATGTGGCCAATGTAAGTCTAGAAAAGAGCAGATAATACACCTAAGTCATCTTCACTAAAGCAACAAGTTCATTCAGTGTTATAAAATATATCTTTGATGGACCATTTTGACACAAATAGGCTGACACCGCTTAAAATTACTCTCAACCTGCCTAAAGCCAACACTGACCTAGAAATAAAAGTGCTGTCCCACTCTGTCCTTACCAGCTACATTAACTGTGTGGGCATTTTCCATTGCTATAAGGTAATGTTAATGTCGTGGAAGAGAAAGGTCAAGCAGGGACCTCCAGCAATAACCCCCGTAATGACCTTTCTCTAATAAAGACAACAAATCTGTCCTCTCACAGGCAAACCCTGAATCTATCTAGATAAAAAAAAAACACCAGCTCCAAATTTCTGACCCCTTGCACTAAACTGCTAACCCTCTGTTCCAGACAAAGAGTCCTGGAGGCTGTTTGAAAGCTAAGACTCTGTTGTTCCCTAATAGAGTACGGGCTAACATTGTGTAACATGCTGCTCTGACCTAAGAACATGGCTTCAGTTTAATGACTTGAACACATTCCCAATTCTTGAAGACACAGAGCAAAATTTACAATATGTTCTTCATGTGTTTTTTCATTAAGTGTTTAAAACTTTCTATAGTTTTTTTTTTTACCAGCTAACTCTGTTGTTTAATCTCATGACATGCTTGTCAATAACCAGAGTCTTCTGTTCTGTATTTCTTCAGTTCCTTGCCACTCTCATCGGGGGTTTAGCAGTGGAATGGCAGAAGGCAGTGACAGCTCATCAAAGCCCCATCTCTGACCACCCTGCTAGGCACATATGGAGCCCTCGGTGCCTTTGTTCTTGCCTTCATCATATCTCGGCCGGTTTCACCTTCTTTCTAAAAACTCAAACTACTTCGTACATAATATCAAGTGCATACGGACGAAATATAATGAACGGGAATAAAACGTCTCTTATTTTTCTCATCAACGTCTTTCTCATCAACTTTATGTTTAAAGCCAGTCAAGCTAGCGTTTGCTTCCTTGAGGGGTTTAAGAATATCTTAGTTGCATATAAAAAGAAACACAATGAATGACTGTTTCTTGTGCAACTCTACAATATTAACATAGGTATGCTCCCATATTATTGTGATAGTTGCACATTTAAATCTAGGGCACCTCCTGTACCCAGCTTTCAATATTCTGAATTCCAATTGTTTCTCTTTTCTTCATCCACCGCTTGCACTCCCTTTCACTGTCATCTCCTCATCCTCGTCTCCCGCTGTGACTAACCCTAATGTCTGTGGCCCATCTGGGTTTCGATAATAACAGACTATCACTGCCTCTTCACAGAGAAGAGAGCGCACTGATAGCTCCACATTGATCTGGTTCCAGTCTTTATAGAGCTCCATCCCTGTGGAGCTGGAGTGGAGTTTTAAAGGAAAGGGCTATAAAACAGAGATACAAAATGGACCAATTGTTGGAGATGAAGGCATTTTACTTCTAATTTTTTTCTCCCAATCGATCTAAATGGTATCGATTTCGCAGTTGTCATGTGTCTCAGTATGTGTGTTGGAATGGGATACGACCCTTACACCCACAAAGAGCCGGAACAGATAAGGGAAATGATTCAGCTTAAAAATTATAGTCTCATGTACAGATTACTGAAACACCTGATTGTGTTGAATGTTATTGTGTAGTACTGTGCAAAAGTCTTAAGCAACTCCTCATTTCTTTATATTTTGCTTCGAAGGAGCCAGATATTCTTGTAATGTCTTCAAGTGATCTTGAACAATAGTTCTCTGAAGGTTTTCAGAGTTTTTCATTTGACATTAGCCAGCTTTTTCCACTTGTTTTCATTCCATTTTCAGATTAATATCTATATTACGAAGTGTCAGTCCTAAAAAACAATCTACAACCGATGCAAAGTGTCTGAAAGTCTGAACCTATTTCCCATTTTCAATGCAAAATATAAAGAAATGAGAGGTGGCTCAAGAACCGTGTTTATTATGTTTTAAATCATTTAAACTCTACTGATCATTCCCCACTTTTAAGCATTTAAAACAGAAGTAAAAGTGCATTTGTAGGTCCGAGTTTACAAACTGTGAATTCAAATGAATGTACCAGTCCTGTATACTGGTGTCACAGCATTAAGATGGTGTAGTTGGTTGTCCTTTGTTTTATGCAGTGAGCACAGTAAATCTTTCACTTCAACGTTTTAGCAGTTTTTGACTGTTTGACACTGACTGTAGACTGTAGGTCTACAGAAAATATCGTCATGCTTTGACTATACAGCAATATTTGTTGGTTTTGTTCTTCTCTGAATTTGTAAAAATTAATACAGAATATAAAAAAACATAAAATAATCTACATTATAGTGTTCAGAATCTGTGATGCACTGTGCGTGGTGTTTATATGTGTATACTGTACATGCATATATGCTTAAGGGAAGGTGACTGTAGAGCCCATGGGTATAAAAAATTAGTGATGTGATCCAAACACCTAGAAAATTACCAGGGTATAAAACACACTCCATAACAAATAAACAACTAGATGTCATTGTTAAGCCCATGAGAGCATGTGTTTGTCAGTGCTCTCTGTGTGCTCTAGGCTCTAATGAATGTTTAATGTTGAGTGGAATTCATTCTTAAGTAGCACAAGGACAGACGAGTCTTACGTAGATTTGGTCGTTGCCAAAACGTTTCTGCATCTCGTAGAGGAGGCTGCTGTCAGTCAGCTCACTGAGGGACGCCAGATCGTCATTGGGTGCCGGAGGCATCAGTTTCACCTGAAGAAAATACACTTAGTTTAATGCAAACTCTCACAGTGGTCTCAGAAAGGATGAAAGGGCCAAAAAGATAACTTGAGGATTTACAATGGCCTTGGGTCTCAAATGCTTAATTTTGGAGCTATCTATTCTTAAAATGGTGTGAATAGACAACAGAGAGGATGGATAATGTTTGAAATGTATTTATTTGTGACTGTTTTATTTGAAATTTGAAAAGAAAAACATAATTTGACACATGCAACGTCATGATGTCAAATTTCAGAGTTTTGTAAACAACATGCAAGTAAACCCTGTGCTTCATATAACTATGTACAAGTCTGTGTGCTTTATTTGTTTATATTTTTCTTCTCCTTGAGGACAAATAAACTGTCTTTATGGAACTTTCTTTCTTCTGTCTTGCGTAAACCCCTCTGGACTTTTTGGGATTTTCTGTGTACTTACTGTCTTACTCTGATTTTTGCAGCATGTAAGATTACAAGGTACCTGCTCCAGTTTGCTGGCTCCAGAGCCAAAGGGGCTATCTAGGCCATTATCCTGAGAGGGTTGTCGCCTCAGTGCTCCAGCTGCCTCTCTGAACATGGCACATTTCTCCAGCAGACTGTCCCGCTTAGCGATTGGGATACCCAGGGGGTTCCTGTATAGGGTGGCATAGAAGATGGTTAGGCAATAAGGTGAACTAGAGCAAAAGAGAAAAAAAAGGTTTATAATATGTGACAATGTTTGTGATTTTGAAAAATGTGAACCCACAAGTTCTTGACAGGGGTGTTGAGGTCATGTGAACCACTATCATAGCGCTGGTCAGTGGAGGGCAAAGGAGCAGAGGGGTCCTTCAGCCTCTGCTGCCAGCTCTCTTCTGCATTCAGCAGCATATCTGCTATGGGCTCTGACACTGCAATATCTAATGACATGAAATAAAATATGAGATAAATTATTATGGAATCTGAAATTCACAGAGGCATGTTTAATTCGATAGATACAAATTTTAAAATGTCAGATTTGTACGCTCTAGTTCTATCATCTAAGAGGCTAAAGACACTGAGAGTTTAATGATGTTCTTCAAAAGACTGTAAGGGTCACACCACTCCACAGGTACACCTTTTTGTTCTCTTCCCAAGCTTAACCCTGGAGAACCCATGGGGTCAGAACCGACCCCATTGGTTTACTAGGGAACCCATGGGGTCAAATTTGACCCCATGGGTTCTCCAGGGTTAAACCTCCTTTAAAATATGTGCGAATGAGTGTTCACTGGTGGAGAATACACTCTGTGGATCAATGCAACCGTGCTTCAGATGAAGGAGTTAAGATCGGTTTTTTGTAATGAGGTCTAAGAGGGTACGAGGGATTGGAATGGCTTGAAGCTGTCTTTTTATTTCTGTGTAGGCACTCATCTCTTGTTCTGACTTTCTTTCGTCATTTGGAGGGGTGTGGGGCTCTGGACCCTGAGTCTCATTCTCTAAGGGCTTGTCTCACTTCTTTTCTAAGACTGCATGCTAGAAGGGGTATCGACTAAGACCCAAGTGAGGCAGTCAGAGTAGTGATTACACCATGGGAGTAAGTGGTAAGAGGCAGAAATGACATTTTATCCCACAATTTAGCAGTTAGGAGGTAAATCCAAAGTCCACATACAAAAAACATATCATCACTACGACACAACGAATTATTAAGATTTCTAAACACGCTCACAGGATAGTATCCCAGTGGTTCTTTGCTCTTCAACAGCATTAGTAACATTGATCTGGATCATCAGCCAGTAATGGCTTCAACTCTAAAATTACAGGTTTTTTAATGTAAGGCCTCAATCTCACAGGCCCAAAGGCCGGTTAGCAATCTCCTGACAAAAATTCTTATTCCCCAACCAGTTGGCAAGTGGTTGCTAGTAGTGGCTGACTCTCACTGGGTGAAATCGGAAATATGGGTCCTGCATCCAACACCTCATTGTGATTGCTTGGTAACATGCTTGCATGGAAACATTCAATATTTACTCTTCGAAATAGTGGGAGGGAAACCAGAAATGGAGAAAACCCATCTTCAAAATAAAAGTTGAACCTCACAGCTATAACCAACACATTTAGAAAAGTACAACTGTTCATTCAACAGTGTGAGATTTGGATTCAAGGACACAACTATAAGAGCAAACGTCAAAACATTCCTTCATAGGAAAGATCAGATGTAACATGACAACAAAATTCATCAGATTTTGGTGAGCTAGACGACCACAGCAAATGAGTCGCATCGTTTTCAAGCTCATCATTAAACCACTGCGGGACGCCTCTTCCCCTGTGGATGGAGAATTGTCACCCAGGAAATGTTCACTTCTATAGTAGTGAACCAAATGTGCTCAACGGTTAATTGTCTCTGTTGATTCTATTATTACTGCAGCATGCTAACACCCAATTATTCTGCTGAAAAGACAAAAAACAAACAAACAAAACATGCTTTTGATAATAATATGCTACCTCTATGCCCATTAGCAAATGATTTCCACCGGTGGTATATAATTACTGCTACCAACCAAATTTAATCAGGACAAAAAATGTTTTGTGTTTAGCACAGGGTGTCATTGTTTTCTTTTTGTGCATGCCTCTTTGTTTTATATCATCACAGTGACTGTTAATGCTTTTGAATGGGCTGAGTTGAATAAGACAAAATTTATGCCCCTACTTCTTTTCGCATCATTACCTCCCACTCTCTCAAATGTGTTTGCCCATTCCCGCTGCCACTTCTGTGTGTGTTTCTAGGCACACGTGTATATTTGTGTGAAATACGTTACCGTAGGGCTTGTCTTGGTTGCAGTTCAGCAGAGTCGGGTTCGCGCCATGCCTTAGGAGCTGGCTAACAATGCTTGTCTGTAAGAGATGGGACAAACACAACCATTTTCCATTAAAACCTAGAAAAACATGTCATTGCAGATCTGTACATCCTCCTGTACAAGGTCACGGGAGATGAGGCGGTTATACCCACATTTATATTTACCGTGAAGAGAAGAGTGGGTATGCAAATGTAGTACAGTTTACCGAGACACAGACTTAGAATTTCAAGCAACTCGCAGATGTTACACACGGCATATGTCACACATCACAAGTCTACACAAGTGTTGCCTCTGACCGAAGAGATGCTTTAATAATGAGCCCATCTCCCATTACATGTCACAGTGAAAGAACCCCATAGCTGTCTACTATCATTTCTGCACAGAGCAACTGTCTCTTTCACCACCCGTCTTTGCTCACAAAGTGTGATGCACAGCTTGATATGAATAAAGTATTTTGGATTAGTATACAGCAGGTATTTTTAGTGGGACTCAAATGACTGGAAAGAAGGATTAAATTTTTCACTCCAACGTGGGAGAGATGCAATGAGTTTAAGGACAGCTCCATTTAACTCTAACATAACAAGCGCTGTTAAAAGAGAGCACTTTACATTTTTATGCAGCAATAACTGTAATAATGTTCTAACTAAAGGTTACCATCCAACAAAACTACCAATAAACAGAAAGTGTCCTTTAGTGAGAACAAAATATTTAAATGTTCCAATTCCAAAAAAACCTTGGGATGCTGTGTAAAATACAAATAAAAACAGAATGATTTATAAGACTCATAAACCCACAGATAGATAATAGAGCCTTAGAATAATATCAAATGTTTAAAGTGAGAAAATGTAAAGCTTTTAAATGAGCTTTGGCCCAGAGAAGACATCAGTGTTTCTGAATCATGCTCACATTTGGTTTCTTCTTCGCGATGATAGGGCTTTAACCTGCATTTGTGGATAGCACTTTGAACAGTGTTCACAGACTGTTCCTGAAGCCCTGAGATTTCCATTACAAAATCGTGCCTGTTTTTAATGCTGTGCAGTCTGAGGGGCTGAAGATCACGGGCATCCAATACCGATTTACAGCCTTGTTCCTTGCACCCAGAGCTTTCTCCAAATCCTCTAAATCCTCTGATGATATTATGTACTGTAGATTAGGAGATATTCATGAGACAATTATGAGTCTCTACAATTTTACATTGAGGAACATTACTCTGAAATTGTTCCACAATTTAAAGACACATTTTTTATTGATCTGTGAATGTCTTCCCATTTTGCACAGTGTTGAAACTTTTAGACCTCTACTTTGTAAAGAAAAGAAAAGAAATCAATAACAAGGCCCTCCATACATTTTACACATCAAGGTTAGTTTTGTAAGCTTATAAAGGCAGTTGTGTTTTGTGTCCTGCAAGGCCAGAGGAGGTTTCCAAGTCTGGGGATTGTCCTGGGAACAACAATGTGGAAAGAGTCTGACAAATGACACAATCAAATTGCGATTTACCAAAGGTCAGGATATCTTGGTCTCTGGAGTGCTGATGTTTATCATTTTATTCAATACTACTGCCCAACTTCATGCATCTCCAATACCAAATGTACCAACATACTTTTCTGTAAGTCACAGTTCACATTTCAGATTCTTTGAAGTACTGCATAGCAACAAGACATCATCAAAGTACATGGGGGAGTGACTCAGCACATTCTGTTGACTTGCGCTGACCCATGTCAACAGCTGTTCAGCAATCAGTTTACAGCGTCTCTATTGTACACAAACGCCGTCAGCGACACTCACACTCTATAAATACTGACAGCTCGTCAGCAGCACCACGAGATCTGAACTCCTGAGTGGGTCAAAGATTAAAGGAGCACTACGAAATGGCTATCAGTACACGGCGGTTCAGCAGGGACAAGGCAAACTCAGTGGTGATGTAGATTCCCACAGACAGAGTAGTTTTGGGCCCAAATGTCTCTTTAATATTTGTCACACATTGCAAAAGCTGACATTAACATTAAAGTCCTTCAGAAAAATGAACCTGTTATATAAAATCATGCTGCTGCTATATTTCCACAGCCTTCACGTGTAACTTCATTATAAAACTGAATAAATTAATCCAAATCCCTGCAGCGCCGCATTTTAATACCTTGTCACTTAGTTGCAAAATCCAACACAAAAGTATTTTAAAAATGTCTCCCCCGAGAGAACACAAGTTGAAAAGCCCTGAGTCAAATCAGGGAAGCCAAGAGCCAGGGTCTAACTTATCACAAGACTGAGAGAGGTAAGCTTAATTAGCTACAGTAATAAGGTCATACATCTTCTTAAAGGGTCAGTCTAGTGTGAATACCACACTCCACATGGGGTTTTTAGGTCTAATGCACCGGTCGGTGTTACAGTTTCCAGCGAGTCTTTACAAAGAAATCGTCTGCTTTGGACTCGTGTCAGAAGAACTTCTTACTAGTAGAACTAACAATTTACTTAGCTGGATACTTGCACACATTTGCAGCCATAAAGTCTTGTGCCAGCCACACTAACCAGTATAAGAAGAAGACAACAGAAGGTAAATGTTAAGCAGGCTCTGGGAGTAGTTTGTATGCAGGAAAGAAAGCACTGGCACCAGTAAAGAGCTGATGGCTAAGGATATTAAGCACTGAGAGGGAAACCTAATCGATTTTCCAATCCTCCACACTGCCACTCTTAAGTCAAATATACTTACATGTTACATAGAACACTCACAAACACACACAGCATGGCTTTTGTAAAAACAAAGACATGGAAGAAGGTTAAAATTCAATTTAAAAAGAGAATTCTTTGGAGTTATACATTTAAGCTTACTGAATAGCTATAATCTGATCATGAAACAACTACAGAGAGGAATTCAGTAAGAGGGGAGAGAGAAAACTAAATCAGAAGATCCCTGTGAATGAAACTGGGAAAGGCTAAAAGGCACAGAGATAAAGAAAATATTTTTTAAAACACACAGGAAAAAAAACATAGCGTGAGAACAGATAAACCAAAGACAGAATGACTCAACACACCAAATGAATAAATTCTCTTTGTCAGCAGCCAAGCACACAGCCCAGAATGTAATTAAATAACTAGTTGGGTCAGCAAGATCTGAATGTGATCAGTCTCTTCTCTTCAAAGCTGGAACCCTCCCAAACCAGCAGATCCTATTCCCTTCCTGTTCCACCATCTCATCTGGAAATCAATCTCCTCTCTTCTGAGAGAAGCCATTAAACTGCTAATCTAGAGTGCTGTATGCATTTGTTGTAACAAATTCATACACAGAGTCCTCCTGTGTGCCTGTTTCTGATCGACTGAACGAAGAAGAACAGCTTATCAGAGTGTGTAAAAGGTAACAAGAGGCACGCTTCTCTCTGGAATAATCTATCACAAATTTTTCTCATCTTTTCATTACTGAGTTTAACTTAGGGGACTATTTAATCAACGTCCATAACATGCTGGCTTTCTGTGCAGCTGTGGGTTACCTGTCCATATTTAGCAGCCAGGTGGAGAGGGGTCCAAAAGTTGTTGTCAGCAGGATGAGGATCTGCTCCGCTCTGCAGTAGCACAGACACCACTTCTCTGTAACCACTCGCACATGCAATGTGGAGCTTCAGAGAGAGAGAGAGCAGCAAAGAGAAATTGTAAGTTTAAGTGCAACAGAAAGCTTTTACATCCTAACACATATGTGCTTTTACATACCAGAGTAATTCCTTCTTCATTGGGCTGATTGAGGCTTCCCCCTGAGGCTACAAGCTGTCTAACATCAGAGAGCATGGTGCTGGGTCTCTGAATCTTCATGGCATGGATGGATGACACATCCACACCTAAAAGAAAACACCACCATAACTGAGAAACTTGTGTTACAGTAAGTCTTTAGTTGGCATGCTTAAAGGAATAGTTCCAAATAATCTGACTCATTATCTTGCAAAGAATTGAATGTTGATAAAACTCATATTTCAGTGGATAACGCTGGAACCAGGAAATGGTTAACTCAGCATTGCATGAAGGTTGAAGCAGCTAACGCAACAAAGGGGAAAAGCCTACATCTCACTGACAAATACACTATCAGCTAGTTTCCCAGACATGCCTTGCCCTAGACTAAGAGAAATATTCAATAAAGCTCTTGGCTGACAAAAGGTTTGAGTCTACAGCTAAGCTTGTCTGGAAAGAGCCATTACTTGTTTTACTTATTATGTGCAAAAATGTTAACATAAAAGAAACATTTTTGATGTAGTTTGATCCCAGACAATTTTTGACCTTTTAACTGCAGCAATAAATCAAAGCTAGATACATATTCTTTTAAACTTACTAGACTAAACTGCTTAAAACAAAGTGGTTTACTGACTTTTGCAGTCTAAAGGAATGAGCTACAACCAAGTGCCCACTCCTGCAGAGCTAAACTGTTTACGGGACTAAATCTGAGATTCACGCGTTGTTTTATATTAGCAGTTGTGAACAACATCATATAAGGAGAGAGCTGGCTGTGCGCTCAACAATGAAAATTAAAATACCGACACTTGCTCCACCCTGTGACCTCTGTAGCCAGGCCATCAAAGACAAACAGAGGTTTACAAGAGCATCTATCCCAAACAATGAAGATCTATGTATCCTTTCATAATTACATACACACTGCACACCTTACTTTGGTTGCTGTAATAATGTAGATTGATTGTCAATCAATCTATATTTCAGTGTGATAAGCTTGAGGGCACTAACTAATAGGACTTTTCCAAACAGCCATGATTAAATCAGGTAATCAATAGTACTGTGTTTGCAAACAAATTAGAGCCTCTGGGTGTGGAGGCCTTTAAGACATACTGATAATAAAAAAAATCCACAGCTTGCCAGAAACTGTGGGAATCCAGTGGTGGATTAAACCGTCAGTGACTTAACGAGAATAGTGAGAATGAGCTAGACAATTTTTAAAGAAACCGATGGCATGGCGGAGTACAAAAAATATCCTGATGCAGACACACACGGAAAGTCTGTCGTTCTCCTATAACCACGCAAACTTGATGGGGTGAGAACGCATGCAGCCAGGTTGCTATAGCAACAGAGGCTGAGCGAGGCTGTGTGAGAAAAAGTATGTTTTATGGTGGCAAAACCAAATGCGATTGGGCGGTGTGGTGTGGTGGATGGGTGGTGGCGGCTTGGGTTGACGGGGGAGAATCAGAGGTGCTGCAGGTTGGCGCGGGGGGGATCACCACACGGGCTGACAGACAGAAGCAGACTCAAAAGAGTCAGAGGCTGGATGTGCGCCCATGTGCAGGGTGGTCTGAGCTCGATGAGTTCGCCGTCTCCACTCACAAGCTTGCATTTGTCATGTTATTCAGCGCAGGCTCATGTGTGGCAGATGGGCGAGGGAAAACCCTCAATCATTGTCATCATCTGTTTCTATCCAGCTTTGTCAGCATGATTCCCGTTCTTCGTTCCCTGCATGTCTCTCGATATTTTTTTCTATATATTTTCTTCTCCTTCTGCCCTCATGCGTCTCTCCCTATACCGCTTTCCTCTCCCTCTTTCATTTCCTACTTTGCTGTTAACCTTCACCTTTTTTAAGAGACTAGAGCCCCATTCACGATATACCACAATTATGCCTGTGGGTGTGCCTCACCTTCATGCACAAGTACACACACAGAGCAATTCATGTTTAGCTGCAGGTATGACATAACATCCAAATACGTCCCAAGCAAGACAAATGTAGTCATTAGGAATTTTTTTTCTCCTTGAAAAAAGGGTGTGACATAACGGAAGTGAGCCACTGGATTTGTTTGGGAAGAGTTAACACACATTAAATACCAACTTTACCGTTTTCCTCCAAGTGTTTTCGGAGGATGTAGCTGGTCTCCGTCCCCTCAATGGCGTAGTCCAGAGGAATGTTTCCATTGATGTCCTGAAGCAAAACGTTCACTCCAGCCTTCCAAACGCAGGACAGAAAACAGACAAGAAAAAGAATTTACGAGCAAACTCTGTTTAAGCATGTACCCTGAGCCATTCATCAGACTTGAAGAGATGATAAATTGGGAGTAATTATCTTGGCTTCCCAGAGGGATATACCTGAGCAGCGCCATGGAGATGCTAACAGACAATACACTGAACTAAAGGCATTATTAAATCACTGCCTGCGGGGGGGCAGTAAAAAGTGGGTGCATTGGTTAACACTGCCTGGGATCACACAGGTCAGTGTGCATGTGTGACAAGATTAATATGTGTTCATTCAACAGGGATGCTGCCAGAACATAAGATAACACAAGAGGCCTCCCTCTGGAACCTTTAATGATTGCCTGATGACAGTCGTCAACAATCAGTGTTCACTCTATGGTTTATTGTTTCTCTTGAAAGGAAATTCCCCACCAAAAACGCACCTCTTAACCTGTAAACCACAAAGGTGTGCAAGCTGAGCAATATGTACTCTAGTTACAGTGACGCTGACATCGCCTTCCCGCTGTCTTCTTCTTTTTTTTTTTAGTAATTACCAGTTGTCAGCATCCAACCATAAAATGCTTCCTGCTGTTTGAGTAAAACATAAAAAAGCAAGTCAATGTAGCTCTCATAGAAGGACGAGGTCTGACAATAGGGATGAGAGACTCTAACTGACGGCCCTTGTTTAATATTTATAGTTAATAGATTTCTAACAACCTGTTTGGAGTGTGGCAAAGAGATTTATGGCCTAGTCCTCAGGCAGGCAGCGATGGAGGGCTGGGAAAAGAAAAGAAAACTGAAAATGCAAAGAGGGAGCAAGCTGACTGAACTGCACGAAAGCTGTTAACCTTAGTGCTCTGAAAACCAATCAGCAAAATCATGAGAAAAAACAAACTTCGAAATAAACTTTATCTGTCCAGTTGTCTTACAAATAACAGACGTATTTTATTAAAAGAAATAAATAAAATGAAAAGGGAACATTTCTGATTCAGGGAAACTGAATTCAGTTTTGACTGATCTGAAAATGTGTTCCAGTGAGATCCACAGCTTCATTGTGCATCCATCTGTGCTATCCAGCGGGAGCTCTTTTTGCTCACTTATGAGGGTGAGCTGGGGGTTAACAAAGAGAATTAATTAACATTAACTATCAGCTGGTGCTTCATGACTATTCATGAAAAAAAGCCTTATCACAATGTGAAACACAGCTTGAGAAGAGCAAGATATGAGATGATGACGAGTAAGTCAGAGTGGGAGTGCGCATTAAGGGGGCACAATTATCCCCCCTCTGCCAAACCCACACTGCAACTACACTAACACACACTCCCCCCTCACTCCCTCAAACACTTATGGTGCTTTGCACCCAGTGGTAATCTGCAAATCATCCTAATAAACCTGAAAGGAGTTCTCATGGTGCCTCTCTTAGCATGCATGTGAGTAGAGCAGGGCGATATGACCAAAAATATTTATCACAATATACATTTGAAAATTTGTGATAACGATATAACTGACAATATAATTGACGCTAGACAAAATACTTTACAACTCCACAACTTTATTTGTGCAAAAAAAAAAAAACAAGCAGCTGTTTTTTGCATTAAAGTTATATAAAAAATTAAAAGTGGAAATGCAAATTCCAAAAGGCAAACCAAACCAAAAGGCATTTCCAGTGGAAACTGGCTGACATATCCTCAGCATAACCATGTATAATATCCACAAAACTTAAAAAGAGGTTATACACACACAGTACGGTAATATGTTGAAGCGCAGTACGTATCACTCCGCGAGGCTCCTGCCTACGATAGCCGCAAGGCTCCGACAATCCACCAAGCGGTGCGGATTCGTAGCTTAGCAAAGTCGTACTAAAACATTTGACAGATTTTCCAGCACCGTGTACCACATAAAATCGTTTCGAGGTCAGTAACACAACCAGAATTCCTACATAATTTTTCAGAAAAATCAAAGGATTGAATTTAAGTGTGCCGTATTTTCCAAAAAACACGGTAATATCGACGGCCCGCTAGCATGCTCTACCAAAAATAGTGCTTTGTTGTGTATCTGACGGACAAAAGCTAAACCAGTTCCACACCACTGAAGTTGCAGCATTTTTACAAACCAATTCTGGTTCATCTGTTTCATTCAACGATCCGCTTTCGCCCTTCTCGTTCTCTGTTGCAGCCATGATTTTTCTGCCATGTGCGTATGCATATTCTATCGCGATATTTCATTTTCTTATCATTGCCCGACATTATACCGGTATTACCGTGAACGGTATGATATGGCCCAGCCCTACATGTGAGTATTACACAGTGGGAAGAGAAGAAGTGTGCTAATCCACACGTTTACCATCAAGATTAAGATTAACGGTAAATAGATGTGCGGCAGAATGAAGTTATTACCTGACAGACAGATACATTATGTCCTCTCTAAACATCCACACCTATACACCTCTACAAAAAGCATCCGGAAAAAACATTTAAACATATAGAAATTGAGAATAGAATAGCCCTTTACTGTCACTGTACATGTACCACAAAATTGTGGAAATATGTTGCTGCCCATTCTGAGAAGGTTAAAACTGCACAAGCAGGACATAATCCTGCACTTGATACTGTTATAAGACAGGGCTTTTCATCCGAGAGTGAAACAATCACAAGAAGGAAATCAGCAGAGAAACTCATTGTATGAATGTAAAAATGCTGGTTTAGCTGTACAAGTTCTAACAATAACAAGCAACTGTCATTTAGAAACAAAAAAGGTATTATGGCACATAGACCTCAGCCAACAGACACAGGTTATGAAGCAGGAGCACTAGGCACCACCAATCCAGTGACATAAATCACACATGATAATTGCTGACAGATATAAATGGGTTTGTGTTGTCTGGCAGTCAAGCGTAGTGCAAAGGGGTTATAAAGTTGAGTTGTGAGCCCCACATAAGCCAGCACCATTATGATGGATCCACCAAAGACATCCCAGAGATGGAAATCTGTTAATGCCAAACTCCCTGTGGTTCATAATGGCAGTTGTTAAACACAGTGACTGCTAAAAATCAATAACAACTAGTAAATGTGTGTTGAAAGCTGTCCCTGGGGTAGTTACTGCTGAGCTGGACACCTTCGGTGTGAAAAGCTAACCAGCACTGACAGCTCGCATACAATGAGGCATCAGTCCAACGTATGCCTGACAGACCAGTAAGCTTCTGTCTTAATCAATACAGCTGTCTACAGCTGTTCTTCTGACAATTTATGTAGCCTAGACTAAAAAAATGCTACTTTTACTGAAATCGATTGTAGTCGGATCATAGGCAAAGCCCTAACCAGAGCTCAGAACAGCAGTGCAATCTGCTCTGTACACATAGAACCATTTAGACCTTCAACCTACTCTTCTGTTCCCATGTTTTACTTTTGTGACAATTTTGCTTGCTTTTACAAAAAGAGCAGATGTTGCAGGAAAATAAGGAATCATGATTTCATAAAGATTTTAAGTAATGTGCAGCACAGAAAATCTTTTCATTCTACTGAAAAACAAAAATGAATATATGAAAAAAATTAATTTGTCAAAAGTATAGGTTGAATGAAAAAGCGAGGGGGATGAAAAACTATCCGATTAATGCAAACATGAATGTCCCAAAATAGAGTACGTAATACCTATCCTGCTAATATTACAAGCAGTTTTCTGGGACCTAGCTTATAATGCACTATACGACTAAGCAACAGTTGCCTGATGAACCACTGTGATGTTTGGGGGTTGCACTGCATTATGAGCAGAGAGGCAGAGAGAGTGATTTCAACTGATGTCAAGTGAAGTTCAGTGCAGCCAGAGGCTTGCTGTTAAACGTCTGACTTCAAAGGACTCGGAGTTCACAAGTTCTAAATTCATTATTTACAAGCATGGAAAGTGGGTTAATTCAACGACTGTACCCGTGCTGGATTTTGAGCAGTAAGACAGGAAATTACATTTTGCAAGAGAACCTGCTTCCAGTCGATCACATGATTCCATTCCTCTCCTAGCACAAGACTGAAAGCTAGCATTTCACAGAAAATGAGAAAGGAAAAAAAAACAGAAGTGGTTTTGTTTCAAAAGGTAGAAACTTTGACAGGAACCAAAACAGAGCCTCCAGACTAAAGACAAGAGGAACAATCTGACTTTCACAGAAATTCCAACATTTCCAGTGACACTGGGGGTGTGTTAGTGTATGTTGCATGTCTGTGAAGGCACCAATCGTGCTTTCACAGATGCTGCCATCTCGACGACACCTATGTCAGGACAGGCCTGTCTAAACGTACACCAGTCACATGGCTTCAGCCATGCCTCTAAACTGCTGAGCAACTGAAATATGAATTGTAGCCTCTGTCCTATTTACAATTAAACAAAGGGTTTTAAAGGTCTGCAAATATTTTAATCTTTATTCCCATTTTATAAATTTCGGGAAATATAGCTGTAGCATTTTTCACATTCCACTCTGAACTGCGAGTTAATGCTACTAGGGTGTCAATAACAAACATTTACCAGAACTGGAGTGTCAATGGTTTCTGGAAGGGGTTTGGAAATGGGCTGGGAATGACAGAGCTTAGAAATGGCTCGCTCTCCTGCTGTTTGGAGGGAGGAGATAAGAGAATTAACATTACTGCCAATCCGGATGCAGAAAAGCAATTCACTCATATTTCTAATCATTCCCCCCATCCCTCTACTTTTCCACATGACAAGCTTGGTAACATCTCTGTCAGCAAAAAAAACACTCTGTTGCTCTGAGAAGGAACTGGAAATCAAGGACAGGGAAACAGAGGACAAAAGGAGGGAAATAGCAAAAGAGATGATGGAGTGGAGACAATAGATTAGTATATACTAGCAACATTATTCCTTCTTGTGCCAATCAAAGATAAGGGTGCCAGTCAAGCTCCTTGAGCGAGGCCATTGTTAAATAAAGCCGTTACATTCACAGGGAAGAGCTTGCAATTAGAGCTCTGACGAGGGAACAGCCTGACAACAGAGCAGAAAGACTGGGAATTGGCAAGAGTCTGCAGTGAAGGAGTCGGGTGTCAAAATGAATAAACAGAGAAAAGGGATATTGGATCTCTATCGGAAATACTGTTGGACTGAAGCTATTTTTGCCATGGTAGACTGAAAAAGCTTTGGTTCTCCTTTCAGAAATTATACTCCCTTGCTGTTCATAGCAGAAAAAAGAAACTCGAACGTTTGTCTTACTATGAAGTGAAAAATTCACCCCAAGGAAATTTGCACCATTTTGAAAACTCAAATGTTTGAAAGTGTTTTCTTCCTTTCACCCAAATGTTGTCACGAGCATCCAAAGAGTAAGGCTTTCTTGTACTGTGTTAATTAAAGTGGTCCTGAGCAATTCTCCAGGTTTTCTGAAGGTCTTTCAAGGTTTTTCTTTGGACATTGGCTGCTTTTTCACTCATTTTCAGTCCCATCCTTGTACCATTTTCAGAGGAATTTTTTTTCTAGCTTATTACACCACTTAACACTACTAAGCATAAAAAGCAACCTAACTCGTGTGTCTACACATAACAGACAGCTTACCAAAGAACTCATTTTAAATATTATTATTATATACTTTATTACTAGAAACCTGTTGTAAAAACACATCGTTTATTCCTGTTTCTTTAACTGAATCTACAAAAAATTTCAAATATAACAAAATTTGACGAGCATAAAATAGTATTTTTTAACCCGTGATAAATTAAAAAAATCAGAGGACAAGTTGAGGACAAAATAGGTTGCAGGTCTAAAAACCAGTCTGCAGCAGATGAACAGTGTCTGAATGCACTTAAGAATTCCAGAAAAGACCTGACAAAGAAATTTACAAGAACAAAATACACATAACACCAAATAATAATGTTCAAGCTAAAATCACACAAAGTCAATGTTTGTTTAATTTACTGTGATCCCTTGTGTCTTAATATTTCAATAAATTGCTGCACCCATTTCCCATTTTCCTAGCAAAATATAAAGAAATGAGGGACGGCTCAAGTCTTTACTGTACTTTGTGTTGGTAAGCTGTAAAAATGAACTTCTCATAGTTTTTAATTTCTAACAAATGTTCTTCCTTTTTCTTCCCTCTGCCCCTGTTCTCTTCCAACAGAGTAGAGTTATGCGTCAATATGGCCCAATTTATGAGGAACTAGTTCTTTCCTGATAGCAAACGGAAAAAGTACAGAATCAATCTCTGTCTCTCTCTCTTTCTCTCCCATGGCATTACCCATCATGAAAGCACATGAAAACACAAGTCACTGCATTAAAGTGCATTTGAGATACATACAGGACACCCTCCCTAAACAAACTAGACACCCCACATGCTTGTAGGGATATTAAATGCACGCAAATAAACAAACACTATTAATTATCTGTATTCTTTTTTTCTGGGAAATACTTCAAACGTACACATTCCTCCCAGGAAAATCTCTTCCCTTTCCCACAGACAGGAAACACCAGTCACTCAGGACCCAATCAGCAGAACCAGAATCCACTGGATTCTACACAGTTATACACCACATGCAACCCTCTCTGCGTCTAATCAACACCAGCGCAGCAAACTCAGCCCACTCAGTGACTGGGCTTCATGTGCATGCCCTCCCTTACAGCTGGCACTGCTCTCATTATGGACCTAATCAGTACAACCAGGGCTCTTGTCAAGACATTCTCCACAGAATAGACTCTCTCTTTGATATGATGCAAATGCCGAATTCCAAATATCCTAATTTTTGGAGATTCAACTGGATTTGTGAAAGAATAAAAAGCTCTGTTTCCGATCCTCAGCCACACAAAACCCCTCATCAATGGAAGATGCTCCACTTGGACAGAAAATTCTTGATGACTAATGTGAGCCAGTAGTTCAAAGCTACTTTTAAATGAAGTGTGAGTACCAACCAGGTCCAACACACTAATCGAATTTGTAGCTGACACACTTGGAATTGCAAAGATCAACCAGAAAATTACAACTACAGCCAAAACGTGTGTCCTTGAATGTCTCTGTATGTTTTCTTTTTTCCTTCCAATATACTGCATGGTCATGTTTGAATGTGTGTTTCTCACCACCAGCAGCAGCAGCACCATATCAGCATGGTCACACACACAGGCTACATGTAGGGCTGTCCACAGGTCTTCGTCCTGCAGGTTGACGCTCAAGCCTCGTTCAATCAGAAGTTCTGCTGCAAAGACATTGTCATGGCGGGCACACTGCAGAATGCAAAAAGAAGGAAATTACAGAATTGTTAGATTTTTTGGAACCACAGGAGTGGTTCAGTGCACATACACTAATAAGTTGTAGATATGGAAAAATGTCCAGCAGTAGTAAATAAGATTTTGCCACTGTCACGGAGGAATGTAATACATTTTTGCAAAAATAAAGGCCTGGAGAACGGTTATAAGTATAAACATGTTACATTTATAGGAGTGACAATATCATTCTGTGAGGACACATAACAATGTCCTGATTTTGTAAATCTGTGCATTAGAAATGCAGGAATTCCAGGGAAGATGAATGTGAGTGTAAAAAATGCCACTTCCTGTTAGGGACATATCTTACCAAGTGCAGCAAGGATCCCCCAGAGGAAATGGGAGTGTTGGGGTCAACACCTTCTTTCAGGAGGCGCAACACTGCAACACACCAAACATCCATATGTTAGCACCTGCTGTTTGCGAGGACAGGCAGCGTGCTTAAGGCAAGCACAGTAGACACATACACAAACACAGGCATCACTATCAAAACCGATGTGTGTGGAGTGAGTGTCCTCTGACTGTCCTTGTTACGTCAGTGCGGATCAGTGTTAAGTTGTGCGTGCATGTTTGGTAACCCCTGTTTTCTGACCTGCTGATGTGGCAACAGCGAGCCACGCAACCCAATAACACACTGACACAGATCTACTAAAGGAAACATAAACCATTACAAACAAGCTGACACAGTCAGACATAAACAGATAAGCAGACATGGTTAACACAGATAAGCAGGGTCCCAAGATTTTGCTATAAATTTGATGTGTTTTTAAAGAAATAAATGTGAACGTAGCAGCACACAGTGACAGAGCAAGAGCGACAGGACACTGGGGTGTGCAACAGAGGAATAGAGACTGATAGTCAAACAAGAAAGGCAGGTGGAGCGCTGTAGTTTGGACACATGTGAATTCAGTGACACTGACAGCACTAGACGGCTGCTGACTGAACCGAGGAAGACCTTATACCAACACTGTCACACAATCCCACCACATATACACACATACTTCCAGAAACATACACATACACAAACGCATACAGTCTGTTGCATTAGCACATACATGAACATCCACACAGAGCCATGGCAAAATATTACACTTTAAAGTTTTTGCAAAAATCTAAAGGAAAGGATCTGTTAAACATTACTGTCTTAAAATTTACTAGCATTGCAAATGGATTCACCTGCAATAAATATGTGTATTTTATAAACACAGATAACTGTTTGAAGTGTGCATCGTGCATTTACACACCATCCACAACTACAGTATATGTTAACGAACTAAAACACCAAATCAGAAATCACGGAACAATTAACAATGTTGGCAATAAAAATTCAGAATTATCTTCAGATATTAAGCAAAGCAAAAAAAATCTCAATAATTTATACATTTATCAATCTAACGTAATATGATGTATGGTTTGGACATGGCAGACCTGAAGACAAGATTAGAAATGAGTATATGAGAGTGACAACTTAGGCTGAGCAGTTTGAAGGCAAAGTTAAAGGCTGAGATCATTTGGGACACATACAGAGCAGGGATAGTGGATATATTGAGAAAAGCATGTTGTCCATGGAGTCGTCAGAAAGGAGGAAAAGACGACTGCAGGAAAGGTTGATGGATGTAACGCAGGAGGACATGCAGGGGGTTGGTGTGCAGAGGGTTCATGTGTTGGTATAAGAAAGGGGAAAGGGTGAGATGGAAGAAGAGGATATTCACTAATCACTTGGTTGGCCTATCATTGTAGAGGCACATGCACGCATATCAAGCAAGCCAGACATTATACAAAGAATGTTTTTCCATCCTTCTCATGGCTGCAGTGCTTAATAGCATTTAAGTGGTTGATGAGTAATAAACAGACCAGTGCTGGATCCAATCAGCATAATTATCTCCTCAAGTCTCCATATGCTGTGGAGACGCAAGACTGTAAAACATCAATTAAAGTACATCTAAAGCTGAATTAGTTACGGGGGAATTGATAATGTTCCTGCTTTCTTGTCTATTAAACAATATATCACAACTCATCAGTGAACTCAGAAGGGCAGTTTTTAAGAATGTAAAGCATCTTGTGATTCACAAATGGTAAAAGTTGGTATATTGAAGGTTGGTATATTTTCCTGGTTAGGATAGACTCGGGTTTTAAAATGACCCAACTGATGGAGTTAGTTAATTAGGAGCTTTCATTCAACCTGCCTAAATTTTATGGCCCACAGCTGCAGACAGGTCAAGGGTCAAGTGGTTCATAATGTCATCAAGTAACAAATGGGGAAAAAATGTTTGTCCGACAATATGGTCATCGGGAATCAATAGTACTGTTGCACGCGTGTCCATCTGTTGTGTGCATTAGTAGTAAAGCTGCCAGCTATGCTAAATATCACTAATATTGAAGGCTTTCATTTAAAAATGCTTTGTGTGTCTTATGATCCCAAACATATTTTGTATTATACCTTTATGTAGCTTAGATTAATATAACAGTTTTTATTTATTATTGTAATTTTCACTGCTTTCTTACAATGTCTTACTTTTGCTGTTTTTTTTTTTTAAACTAACTTCATTTGTACTTTTTTTCGCTTTTGATCATTGCTGTATATATCTCCATAGCATAAGGCTCTTACCAGGTGCCTTTGGCACTTTAACTTAACTGATGTTTATTGCAGACTGTACTATTTTTATACTTTATACTTTATAATGCTGCTGTAACACAACAATTTCCCTTGTGGGATCAATAAAGTATCTATCTGTCTGTCTGTCTGTCTGTCTGTCTGTCTGTCTATCTATCTATCTATCTATCTATCTATCTATGAACACTGAAACAAGTTTTGCTTCCTGTAGGCAATATTCCTGTCAAGTCAAACTAGGGGCATCCAATTATCCCTGTCTAACGTACGTCAAATAATGGAAGACAATAGCAAACAAAATCCCAAGACTTTGTTCTCAGCATAAACATGGTATAATCCAAAGTTCAGATAAAGTTTATACAGAACTTCAGAAGCCTGATTTAGACAGCTCAGGTAGGTGTCACCCAAAGTTTGAGTCTTTTTATGTCACTAAGTCTTTACAATAACTAAGTGCAGAAACAGTAGGCAGGGGAAAGTCAAATTTAATACCATGAGCTTCCAAAAAAACCTGAATGTTTATTAATTTTATCCCCCATTTGTTCCTATGGAATCATCCTCGCAAAGGATCTGTCAAAGTCCTGCATACACAGAAGTAACGATTAACACAAACAAAGTTTATTGAAGAAAGATGAAACAGTGTGAATCCATAGTTTAAATCATGGCTTGACAGACTAAATTAGTTCTCAATAACTCTATAATCCCAATAATCAGCTTAGGTAATAGGATTTTAACTACAAAAGGAGAAAGCCATTTGACAAGTCAATAGCAAAAGGGATACATTACACTGTTTGTCTTAAAGCTACTAACGACAAGCTGTTTTACATTATGAGGTGATGGCACATTATCACGTAACTAAAATGCAAAAGGAACCCTGGAGTTGCAGCAGCTATATATTTATCTCACAGCACAGCCACAACATTAACTGTCTTTATATATTTATTAAAATTTATATGTGAGTCGGTGTATGTAAGTGTGCCACCCTTCAATCAGGCAGTGAAATGAAGAGTACGCAAAAACTAAAGTCAACTATCATTTCTGGACAACCACAAAACAGCTGTTTAAGACGTATGTGCAGTTTCCATGGCAACCACATAGGACCTGATAGAAAAAGAGTAAGCGCGATGGAGAGAGAGAGAAAGATGAGAGAGAAATCTAAATTAGCTACAGATTGACAGGTGGACATGAATAGAGGATTATGACCTTGATAACTACTCAGATTCTTAAAAGCCAAACCTGTGACATCTTATTGGCCTTCTTCTTCTTCCATGGAAAAAATACTTCACAGCTACATCCCTACAGTAAGATATTATAAATACAGCTACAGCCAATACATAAAACTGTACACGAAGTTAATCAGTAGCTCTCTTGAAAATCCATGCTTTCATTTAGATATTAACTCATGCTTGTGTTCAGCACCTGAATAGAGCTCTCCAGGACCTTTTGCCTACTCAGTAAATTGCAAATTATGTGCAATTCACTGTTAAAAAAGCAGTTCTCCACTCAGGAAAATTAGATTTACATATTGTTGAACTGGAACTGCTTGAAATAGATACAATGCCTCACGCTGACTGTTGTGCAGATACAGTGCAAGGTTGGATGTACTTTTCTCATGGCTCTCTTTTCAATTCTCTGGCTCTTCTTTCTCTTGCTGCACCGGGACATTCTATGAATCTGATCAAATCTCTGTAATGTGTGCTCCATAATGTGCCACTTACATCAGCATTGCCAATTTTCTTCGTATGGCAACCAGACACATTCTTCTCATGTAAACTATCATTCCTTGGCAGCCCTATATGAGATTACGTTCAAATCCCTTACTCTTATAAATGCGTCTGTCTCTTGGGTCCTTATCACAGAGTCATGATCACAAACGGGGGGCCGTCTCACCTCACTGCCCCATGTTTTTGAAATGAGTTTTTCATTCCTCCTTTGTTTCATTCATGATGGAAAAACACAAGTGTAGAGTTTTCAAATAGATAATGAGTCTTGTAAGATGGAACAGGGAACCACTGCCTACTTATCCCCAGAAAAGGCCATGTAATGGAATTCAGCTTCTGTAACCATGTAATAAATGCCACCGAAGGGGGGCAATGCACGCTCACAGTATCTGAAGTATTTAATAGACAAAACCCCTCCATAAATGTGGACTTGCAACTTTGTTTAAGTTGCGTCCTCCAGTGAAAGAAACACATTACTCTAAAAGACAACTCTCAGACAAATGGTGCTGGTGCATATTTTATTTCGCTTTCTTTTTTCTACAATGAAGCACTGGAATTCTCCTCGTAAAATCATGCCTGCAGACTGAAAAGAAAAATTTAAATTGCTTATTTGTGACAGTAAAGGGAAAGTGGGACCGCAAATTGAATGTGAATGCATTTTAATCCGTTTTTACAGCCGGCCATTTTAGGGGAAACTGTCATTATGTGTACTTCTCTTCCTTTGTGTAATTTTAATTTAAATACTCAAACATAGAAAAAAAACATCTAAATTAAATCCCATCTTCAAACCGAGCACAACTGTAAGAAATTACTTCATAACATTCACATCCTTTGCTCATTTTACCTGTCTGGATGAGCCCCTGTAGGGACACTCATGACTCATCAAATGAAGTATACATTTAATATTAGAAGGTCAGAGAAGTATGAATTCCAGTGTAAAGTTTCATTGCAACATGACAGAAGTTGTCATTAAAGCACATTTATGAAGGATGGCAGAAAAAGGGCTTCTTTTTCTATCAGCTCTGTGGGCCTAGGCCCTGTTCTGTCAAAAACATGACAGATGTCTGACACCCTTTTAATCCCAGTGTGGTGCACTGAGGGAGATATCAAGTGATGTTCCCTAACATCCCTAACATATTTACTTATTTTTCTTCCTCTCTGGTTTAAGTTTCACCATCTAGGGGAGATTATATATAGATGGAAGGCTAACAGAACACAGCTAAGTGTCTGAAACTTCCCATAAGACTACACTACACATCACAGTGACTTCAACTGTGGTCCAGCACAAACAGTACACAGTATCTAATGATAACAGATGGATATAGTTATGATTATGGATATAACAGAGAATTCCTTTGAGTTAAAATGTATTTCGCAGGCAGTGTCAAGTAGATTCCTTAAACTTTGTATTGAAGCTTTTGCTTCACTGATATAAACACATGGTGTTTAGTACTTTAGGTGTGATATGTTTCTAAGGAGTGCTCCGAAACACTCCACATGACTGGAAGCTTTTATTACCTCCACTTTCCCGACTTCCTCACTGTGGAGAAGTGATTGCACTATGAGTCCCTGTGCTGTGCCTGCAGGATGGATCTATACACATTGATCAATAATGAAAGATGGCCATTGAGACACACTTCACACAGTAATTACACTTCCATATAGTGCACACTGAACAGACACGCAGCACAGGCACAGGGGAAACACGCTCGCCCACTGGTGCAGAAACCGATCCAAATAACAATATTTCTGACTTGAGTTGGAGTCCCCACTGAGGGGACTGTGAATGCATACGGTTGCATAATACAGGTAATCTTTACTGCCAGCAGGAGAAAAGTAGGTTTGACCCGAGGTCTGCGGGAGCTAAAAAGGCCAGGAAACAAGAGACACTAAAGGATCATGAGGCTATGAATGTCTTAAATGACAAGCCATTAAACAGTACTGGTCTAAAGAATTGATGTTCTAAAGCAGAGCTGCAGGCTTCACACATACACATGCATGCAAAACAACAATAATCATTAGAAAACAACAAATCGTTCTAACACAACAAAGTACTGGTGATTTTCTGTGTAAGATCTGATATATGAATGGGGTGCACAGTGCAAAACTGGAGCTCATGAGATTTCGGTTTTTAAAGAAAGTGCTTCAAAGAAAGACGCGGATACAGTCCACAGGTGTCTTAAGATGAGTTTTTGAATGGTACCAATCAAAAAAAGGTACCAAAAACCTCTTAAGATTTGATAACCAAAGTTGGAGAAACCAGCTCAAAATGTCATTAAATAGCATTTTTGGAAAGTTAAGACATGGTAAATATTAGTAGTAGGTTCCATGGTTACGAGAGCAACAGCTTCACATTCTGATGATTGCTTTAAAAAAAAGAAGCAGTTTCACCAAATGTCAAAACACAAGCGAGCCAGATGTTTGCATATGACAGATAAACCCGTGAACGAAGATGACGTGCAGTATTCTCAGATCTACAGCTAGAGCTGTGTGTCCGTGGTATATCTAACCTTAACCCTGCGATATCCTTCGTAGTCCAAAAGGATCTTTGTTGCTGTTATTTAGTTTCATCCATTTTCCAATGTTTCCTTTTCTCTGTGTGTTTGCCCTTCCCTCTTCCTACTTCCTGTACAAGACGAATGATAAGAAAAACAAAATCCTTTTGTGACTGCGTGTGTGTAGAGTGTGTGTGCATCTCTTATTATCTGGCTGTCGTGTCAGCAGACAAAGTTTCAGCACCTCGTGCCTCGATTTTTTAAATTTTATTTTTTAGTTAAGGCTGAGTCTTATTTGCTAATCTCTCTTTTTGTGTCTTTTTCAGTCACAGTTTCTTAAAGAGCTATGAGTCACCTAAACATCTTTAATTATTTTTCAATAATCATCACCGTCTGGAGCAGACGGCGCTGACAAATTAAGTTGAGATATTTAAATGTATTCAAGATAACAGACATTTTAAAGATACAAGTGTATCTTTAACAAGTATATCACTTGAGCTTACTCTAGAAGGGATCCATGAAATGATAGCGTAATCGTAATGCTGAAAGCATAAAATAATTAAAATATTGGCTTTTTTTGGCAGTCATACAGTATATGATCTACTGCTTAAATGGTGACTGTGTTTAAACCCCAACAACAGCTTTTTGGAAATCAGCCAGGCATGATACACATAGCTATAGTTCCAGTATAGAGCATGAAACTGATGTGCGGCACACAGAGTCCATAGCTATTGCTAATTTCTAACCCTAAGTTTAAGTTTGCCAGTGCCAAATATGTTCCCACATTACTCTGGGGACAGTCCTGGCCTGAAGCAAATCCTATCACTCTTTATAAAAAAGGCTAACACGAGCAGAGATAGTGAGAAAAACGTATCACTTCGAGCACCAGCACCACTGAAGAATACTAAAGAAGAGGCATTGTCAGGATATACAGTACTGAGTGTTGATGGATCCAACTTCCAAGTGTTAACTCTAAGTGGTTTGGACAGATCCTTACCCAGAGGCACAGACCCAAAAGAACCAGACAGGCTAACATAAAAAGAACAGCTGATGAATCTTTAAGGCAGTATTTTTCTTCAAAGACAAAGATATAAAGTGTTCCCTTATCTACAGACGCCTCTGCATGAATCTACTATTTTGTTTCATTTGGAGCCAGTTTTTGTTTTGAGCACCAAATGGTCACAAAGCCCTCACATAGCAAGACAAACGGTGGCCTGGTACCACTTGAGCACCATGGTGGGGCTTAGGTGATTAGGCAGAGGAGTATGCAATCCATGCCAAGCCAATGAACCCTGTTTTCAGGTTGGCTTTAGCAGTGGCACACCAGCTGCTCCCACAGACCCCAGCTGAATCTTACTGGCAGCCAGGGAGCAGAGATTAACACAGTGACCTGCAAAGTCTGCCGGAAGGACTGAAGGAGATATGCTCAGACAGATGTGTCGATGACTGGCAAGTGACTGTCATAAACAAAAAGAAAAATGGTAAGGTTGGACAAAAAGATGTGCCTTTTGGAGTAAATTGTGAATACCCTTTAAATTTCAAGAGGCTTGTTTTGTGACAGAATGATGTCAGCATCAGAACTTAGTGTGTTTTTATTGTCTGAGGAAAGCTTGCAGACTCCTTTTTCTCTCGCTGGTAACAGATAAATAAACACACACACAGACAGGAACAAAGAAACCGACACAGGAGGGCAGACAACGGCGCTTTTCACCGACATCAGTAAAATCACAGAAGCCACAAGAAAGCTTTCTAACCATTTTTAAATGCTTTGATGGACTATTAACTATCAGCCAATCAAACAGCCGTATCACATGTTCTTTCTTTATCTGTTGAAGAACATTCTTATGTCATCTAGCTCTCTGTCAGTGTCACTGAACAGCAGATGTAGGTGGGATTTTTTTTCAACACTTTGCTCTCAAAATCAGGTATTGCCATCTCTGCTACCCTCTTGTCACCCTCATGTTAACCAGAAGCAGACACGCCCACTCGCAGAAAAATCCGAACACACACCTTCTTTGTCATTATGATGAACGATGGCATCCTGTATAATATCGGCGGGCCTGAAGCGGACGTGGTGCTTCTTGCGGTGCGTGGGCAGGGCTCGAACCTTGACTCCACCTTGCTGGCGCTGAAGGCTCTTTTCTCTCTCGTAGTACGCCCTTATTTGTTCACAGCGCATCCTCCTGACCAGCCTCTGGCGCTGGCCAATGGGAAGAGACTCCAGCAGACACTGGTCTATCTCCATGTTCTGGCGAAAGACGTTACATAGCTGGAAGCAACCTAGAGACAAAGAGAGAAAGCCAGAAACAGCAAAATAACATTAGCAATGTTTTATCTCAAAAGAAATTATGTTGCGTCATTTGTCTTTTTTTTTACATAAGATTTGTTTTTATTCAAGTTCTGAAGGCAAGCTGTCCATGCTTCAGTGAGGAGGACAATCTGGTGAATGAGTGAAAACACTATCCTGCTAAACATGTCCTATTGGTGCTGGTGTGGGCCCACTGTGGAGAGCCCCAGACACCCCACACAAAAGAGCAAAACTGCTACGGTGCCCACATGGTCCCCACATGGGTAAGTCTGCCATGATAGTTTACACAGTAAATGAGAGAATGCTCTCTGATTAAAAACAGAAACAAATTTACCTAAAGATGCAGCTGTGCATGTCATTTATTTTAAGTCTTGTTCCTGACAAGCAGAGACAAGCGTGGATACTCTGAATCTTCCAGATTTATTATTAGGGCCGTGGTCTCAGGCTCGACTTGTTGATTTTTTTGGATGATATGCAAACGAGCCTTGGTCAGAAAATAGCCGGTGTTACTCAGATAAGGAGACAACACTTTATCAAAAGCAGTCGAGGATTTATCACCCACACGGTTTCACAGCTTTGTACTTGGCCAGCTCGATAGAGACTGCTAGGTCAAACGTATGCAATGTTTACATTTGTTCAGCTTTAGCAGAGAGCGTACGCTGACTCAATCATATCATGTCAAAGAAGCACTCTGTGTGGGTGCGTTTTCGGCCAAAATGTCAAGTATAAACCTTTTCACAGTTCATTGCTGAAAAGTATGAACATATCATCAGTGTGCAGCAGAACTGTCATTTTTCACCTTGATTTGTTCTAGTAATCTTTTTTTTTTTTCCTTTTTTTTGACACGTTCATCCGGCCACAGCTGTACAAACTCCAGCGTCTATCAGTAGCAGCTGCTACACAGACCAAGCTGTCTCCCTCATTGGAAGGGAAAGTGATATCACAGGGGGAATAGCAGAATTTGTTATTGCTTTATTGCTTGTTTCCTCAGCAGCTCTTATGCTGAATCACCAGCTGATGTAGTTCTATTTTTGGATAACAAATGAATATGGGCAGGTGCTCAGTGATCGGATCTGGCCTGTGATCTTGTTTTCAGTCAAGCATAATGAGGTTAAAGAGATGTAACGCGATAGCATTGGGTCATAGTGGAGGATATCTTTATGTAATAACTGTAAATACTCACAGCAACAAAACAGTGTCAGCTGAGTTCTTCAGCTTTCTTCACCAAGATACTGAACCAAAAGAAAAAGCCCTACAGTAAATATGTGTATTTTGGTCTTAGCTTACTTTGCTACTCAATCATTTGGGACAAATCATCAACACCCCAGCGAGAGGAAAATTAAACCACAAACACACCCTTTAAAAAGTAATGAGGATGAATTCAAAACATTTCACTTCCAAACATCACAGATGTTTTCTTATGAATTTAGTTGTTCAGAATAAATTAGAAGAAAGTTATTATCCAGAATGCCTACATTTAAAAAAAAGTAGTTAGCACACTGAGATCTTATTTATTTATTGATTTATTAAACATGTCTCAGATAATAAGAAGCATCCATGTCCTCAGGTGTGTTGAAGCGGTAATGTGTGCTCTAAATATCAGATTTTTATAGCAATTTTATTTATAAAGCACATTTTATTATGTAAACTTAATGTGCTTAACAAATAAGAGAAAAAAAACATTTAAAAAAATCTGTGTAGCTTTGCCTTAAGGCACAAAAGCAAAAATAAAATATAAGAAACAAATCAAGAGCTCCTTTTTATGCTTATTTATAATTCACTGAGGACAATAATTCTAGAAAATATGCTGCACTCCATACGCCAAACAATTAGTGCAGAGTAAGTGTGATTATTTTGTTTAGTACAGCTCTAAACTTTGCACATAAAAGAATAAATTCTTTGCTGGTTTTAAATTTAAAAAAGTATTCTGAAATTGCTGAACAATTTTCCCACTCGCTCTTTCACAAAGTGGTAAAAGCCTCCCATCGTTACTTCTGAAACTATCAGCCTCTCTGGGATGCTCTTTCTTTTTATAGCCAATCATTTTACTAATTAGTCTAATTTCTTTTATTTGTTTTCATTACACGACCTTTCCAATCTTCCTGCCCTGACCTTTGCAGGCATTTAATGACTACATGATTTTCTCAGGTAATTTTCAGTTAGTTAACAGTTTTAATAATTTGCGAATGATGGCATCCTGATTTACACTGTTAAAAACATTTTTTTAAACCAAGCTGCATCCTTTTTTGTTTGTGTCAGCATTTTGCCCAGTTGTGTGCAGGCAATCGTTTAGCATCCTGGCTGTGAAGGATATTTGCTCATTGTTTAGCTCTGGGGTGGGTTGTGCGAGACACCACAATATTTTATGTGCTGTTTTTTTTTTCTGTCCTAACAGAGTGTATCAAATCTTCTGACTGTGCATAATCTATCTGCCTCTCAGTGGAACGTAGCCAAACAGATCTCATCACAAGGCAGCTGCTAAACTTATTCTGGTCTGCTTGGGTGATGTAAAGTAGCGGGACTCTACAGCAGGTGGGCCGAGCCTCGGAAGACCAAAAGAGCTCATGTAGAAATATAAAAAATCAAAAGATGCTAACACTTTTACGAATAATAATCTGTTACAAATTAAGTTAAAGTGCAAACAGAAGCCGAACTGTCATGACAGCACTGATAATATGACAAATTCAGGTCATAGTCAGCCCAGAGGACAAGCAAAACATGAAGACAAGATAGTCTTTGCACAGACAATGACTCACTAACTTATGTCTCTTTGGGCATGTTATATCCCACTCCTTACATTTCTCAAACTGCTCTTCTTTTATTGTGCTTGTCTTTTTTCTTCTTTGCCCACTTTTGATTTAGTTCTCTCTTACTTTGAGTATTTTTGTCTGTTCACTGATGTAGCGCTCTTTCTCTCTGTCATCTGTCTGCTTCTCTTTTAGGGTGACTGAGCACACATCAGTGTTTTCAGCAGGTGAAAAATACTGTTAGCAGGGCACTTTTGAAGCACTGCATGCTTTCCAGCACCTTCTGTTTCTTTGTCACAACTTTATCAGGTCTTAAATATCTTATTTTTCCAGAGCTCCAGACTGTGACTGGTCACACTTTACCGTCAGAGGAAATAACAGTATCAGACACACATTATTATTTTATTTCTGTCCCAGGGTGTTTTCTGTCTGTTTCTAACTTTGTATCTGTGATGTTAGTTTTCCATTGTTTTTACACATTAGAGAGTGTTGCAAGTTATCTCATATAAGTGTAATATGCACAATATGCACATTTGTTCCCCAGTCCAGCACTTGCTCTACCACCTGAGAATCTTGGCACTAGAGCCAACTTTCTGAGACTTTAAACTGGGGCTTTTCTTTCAACAGTAAAAAGCAACCTAACAATAAAAGAAGTCCTTAACTGTCGAGCCGTAAGTACATTGCTGTTACTTTTTACAGTATACCAGAAGCTGTCATTCGAAGGGGCCGAGGTGTGTTCAGATTTTTATCAGGCAGAAACAAAGACGTCCTAGCAGACAAAAAGATGCTTCTGTGTGCCTTTTTTGTTTGTTTTTGTTTGATATACATCTACACATTCATTTAAACACCTGCCCCCACCCCACACACACACACACTTCCTTCACAATACATCAGTGCCATCTGCTCTGGACAGACATGTAAAAAAAAGCGTTCTTTTGTATTCAAGTTCCAGACGGGAGTGGTGGGTGGGGGTCATTATTATACTGCTCATGCCAGGTGCTTCAACTGTATTTTATTTTGGGAACTTGGCTAACGGTTGAAACACAGAAACACACTCAACCTACTGCTTTTTCTAATAATATACACACAGTCTTGCATTCTCAGTCCCACAGCTGTTGCCTTATTTTTCTCCTGTTCTTATATGCACACGTGACAAATTAAAGGAAAAGCCATCATAAATTGTTTTAATAATGTGTTGGGTCACCACATGCCTACAGAGGAGCTTAATTGCAACATGACATTAATTCAGTGAGTCTCTATATCTCTTCTGTGGGGAATTAGACATCACTCTGCCAAAGGATATCCCCTCACATGATGGTCGTTCATCTAAAGTCTCACATAGATCTTCAATTTGGCTGAGAGTTATTGGCTGCAAAGACAGTATGTGATTCATATTAACTTTATAATTATTAAACCAATCAGTGATCCTTCATGACCTACGGAAGGGGGAGCATTATAATTTTGAGAGAGACCACTACCATCAGGAAAGGAATGCTTCATGATAGGTTAAAAGGGATCAATTTGAGCAATCTTGCATTAATTTATAGTGACTCTACACAGGAAAGATACACGTGAATCTTAACAGTGGCATCAAAATACCTCCTACGACATATCAGAGGATGACCTTGCTGTAGGCGTTCAAGGATTAAGGGTTTTTTCCTTTAATTTGACACTGGTGTGTATTGTTTCATCGCATCTATTCCATTCACAGCAGAGTTGAAGATAAAAAAGAAGAAGAAAAAGATGAAACAGACCATCAAGACCAGACACGTGTAGTGCATCACACCTGCACATACACATGCGCACACCTCAGAACACTTTTCAGTCCAAACCCAGGAGAAGAAGTGGCATGTTATTTCCTTGATTACAACAATTAATCATTTTTACGTAAAATAAAAACAAATGCAGCAACAGTCACATCTAGATCATACTGATATTTTGTTCAATAACTTGAACTTTTTAATACCCCCCCCCCAATAATATTGATTATCGTTTTCTGATCAGCTGACTGTTTCTTGCCTCAGTCTCTGTCCTCACTGTTCCTACTGCTTGTTCCTTGGTCAGCCTGGTTGTATCCTCTTTGTCCACACTCTTTGTCACCCCAATACATCATCTATTAAGCATACATTCAAGGTTACAGTCACACAAATCCATAAACTCCCAGTCCATGACAGACAACAAATAAGATGACATATTAGGGCAGACAGCCCACACATGAACTGTAGGTGTACAAAGCATGTAAGATAGATGGGTATAAAAATAGGCTAAAAACGAGGAGAGTATATCACTAGAAACTGAACATTTTTGTTCAGCTTCTAGTAAGGTGCACTTCACTTTCCACATAAAATTTCGTGCACATCACATCACCTTTTAATAACCTGCAATTTATTTTCAAATATTAGAACATAACGTCTGCACTAAGTGGTTAAAATAACAAGAGACACTGACTCTTGCTACTATGTGATGAATGGTTGTGGACAAATACACCAGACCAGGAAAGGACTAATCGGAAATGGGTCTGAATGAATCTGGGATATGGATTAAGTGGATATACAGAGAGAGAGAGAGAGAGACGGGGAAAGAAAGCGTGAGCTTTCTTCTTCTGCCATCCCATCTCCAAGCTATCAGTTATTGATTAAATGTAGAGCATCCCATGCAGGCTCCAGCAGGCTTTGGCTAATAACACAAACACCATTGCAGGAGGTTGTAAATTGCAAAATACCACACATACACATACACAGTTACATGCACACAAACTCACATTTATGGTGTCTGCAAGCTGCAGACACCATAAATATGCAGGATATATAGGAGAGGGGATGTGGATGATTAAGAGGTGAGGTGGGTTCTTAGAGTGAAGGAGAGACTTTGACAGCCTGCATCACCTCTATCATAGCACTCAATTATCTTTCCTCCTATATTCTCCCTTTTTCCAGTCTTCATTGCTGTTGCCTCTCAAATATCTGCATCTATCACTCAAAATTTGGCCACATTCCTTATGTCACTCCTTCCATCCCTTTCCCAATAATGCCATCCCCTCCCTCTCTCCCGTGCTCCTCTAAACCACCATCAGTTTTCTCTCCATCTGTCTTTCTCTCCTTGAAACCACTTTCTCTCTGTGAGTCTGTTAGTGTGATGTGAATATGCCAGACACGCGTGGGAGCTGCATCTTTGTGGCTTTACTTCATCTTTCTTTCCTTCGTTTTGCTGCTACCTGCCGCATTCACCGGTCAACTTCACTCATCTGCAGCAGCTCTCTGCAGCAAGCTCACACACCCACTTACTGCACGAACACACACACACACACACACACACACGGGGGGGCACAAATACCCATTGGAAGTTTAGACCACACCGCTGCTGCGTCTGCAGCAAATGACCAGAATTCTTAAGCATGTGAACTCATACAGTATGGCAGCTTGAACATACAGTAAGTGCTAATGCAACAGACACACACCCATGGCTGACAAGTCTACTTGCATGCATAAATATAGAACTGCTGAATGGCTACTTACAACATTTGATGAAATGGTAGTGAGACATTTTCTGAGCAAGTCAGACAGTCCAACAGTCAGGTAGAAAGGCAGGCAGGCAGAAAGGTATGCGGGGGAGTCAGTGAGTGAGGAAGGCAGGCAGATAGTAGGCAGCTACAGGTTCCAGAAAAACTAACTAAAGCAGAGCTCATAACCGGCACGATACATTATTAATCTGGCTCACTGCATGCTATCCAAACTCTGTTCCCCTGTCTGCATTATTCACCACCACCAGTAGCAGCTCCGGTTGCAGCTCATGCAGCATCTACATGCATACGGTTCATCTCTCGCTTTCTCACACACACTCTCTCTCACACACACACACACACAGACATGCACTCTCTCGGTCACCCCTTCGGCAACACGGAGCTGCGGCTGTTTCTAGCTCTTCTCGCCTACAGCCGGATAACCGCTGCACAACGTCTTCCCAGCCATAGCCAACACACGTGCTCCACTGGCGTCACTGACTGGCAGCCGGCTCAGCCCACCTCCTGTTCAACACACCCCCAATGACGCAATGCTCTTCGCCTCCTTACACACCCCCCTCCTGGTTTTCTTCACACACACACATAGGCAGTGACTCATGCAGATGCACGCTTCTTTGGACTATCCTCTACCTTCTCAGCCCAAAAAAAAAAAGGCGGCAAGAAAGGATCCATTGAGCTAACCTATATTATAGATATAACGCATAGAGAGCGAGACAGACAGATTGTGAGGAGGGCTGTTTGATTAAACTGAAGAATTGCAGACACAGCAGGGGGAGCAAGAGAAAGAAAAATAAGCAAGAGGCAAAAAGAGAGGGGAGTGTTAAATTTGATAGGACAGCTAAAGACATAGAGAGAAAGAGAGGCGAAGCTGCTGCAGTGCGGCTTTTGGTGTGGTGACAGGTTAAGTGTTCATCAGCGGTTTTAAACTAGCCTCAAATTTACTACCGATAAAGATAGTTTATAGAACGTTGGAGCTTGAGCGCAGTACGTTTAGATGCCACTATAATGCACCTATCATGCAGCAACACACCACAGGGCATGGTGCAATATGAACTATGTGTGTCTGTAGGGCGATCTCTATGATTTTGTCCTTTAAGGCTGATTTGCATTTACTAAGCTTTGTGTTAAAAAGGGATTTGTGCAGGATGGGAATGTGAGAAAGAAGGAGGAAGAAGAGACACAACGAGAACAAGAACAGAGAGAAGCTGAAACACACTTAAAAAATATGGATGATGGTAGTAGAGGTTAACAGGGTGTGCAGTGTGTGAATCAATCTGGATTGCGACACGCGTTTTAGAAATCTGTCTACAGCCTGAATAGCATGCTGATTTTCCCGTGTGAGATTTTGAGGCACAATCGCTGTCGAATATAAGCGAGCAGAGATGGGATTAAAGCACGTGAGAAGCAGGTGAGGTTCACTCTGCGTTGGTGGCGAACAGTGAGGAGTAACAGAGCAAACTTGAAAGAGACTGGGGGAAAAGAAAAGACACACTGGGAGTTAGATTTGTGTGTATGTGTGTCAGACTGGATACTCGAGTAATTCCTGTCAAAGGAAATCAGGTCAAAGCAACTGCTCGCTGCATCGTATGCAAAGTACAGCTTGAGCAACTACTACAACAACTACCGGAGTAAAATCAGGTGCCTGTGTTCGAATGTGTGCAAAGACTGCACTATGCAGAGTAATTCAATCGTACTGCTACATGTGTTTGCACACAAACACAGAGACAACAGACAAATTCACATCTTTACTGCACTTGCAAGCCAAGTAGTAAAGTGTTTTTGGGATGACACAATGACTATCCCATTATCACTTTTGAAATAGAGATCGCACAGCAGTACATTCTGACAGGGGAATGTCATGCGTTCCCATCTAAATGTCTTTAAGCATTAATGGCACATGTTATCTGTGCCTGCAGTAATAGAGACTTAAGATGCCGTATCAGAAAGCGGTGGCTTGCTGGAAAACTGGAACATGAGGTACTGTAAAACAGAGTTTCAAAGTGAGACATCACCCTAGAAGGGAAGTCAAGTCTGTGGCAACAGAGACAGGACAATAAATTGGTGACACGTAATGATCATTTCTATCTCTCTGCAGCCGCAAGTAAGCAGCGAGTGAAGAAAAGAGATAAAAACAACAGATGTAAGGACTCCATTGTATATAACAGCCATCTAAATCTCTGTCAAAGGAAAGCACGGCTGCAGTCACTTGTGTAACTATCCACAATCTGTTTTCTTGGCATTATCTATCTATGTCTTTATTGTTTCAAAGTCACTCACACTGTAGCACATGCTGTTTCTGGTAGAGACTGAGGCTCTCTTCTTCTTCTGTGCAGCACTGACAGGTTTTCACTAAGGCAGCGTTTGATGCACAGATCATAAATTTCATTCACTTTGACACAGCGGTCACTCTGCCATCATCACCCTCAGGTGTCAGTCAATGCTGCAACTGTGTTACCTCCATGAATTTTGTGCTTGACACCCTAGAGAGTGAGTACATTTGTTCTTACGTGTGATCTCTTCAACTGAGTTCAGTGGTGAAGGATCCAAGGTGCAGGAAAGGTTCCTAATTAAGGCAACGCCAAAGGCACTTAGCACCGTGAAGTGTGAGGTATTATATATTAAAGGAGACTGTGAATTAAGTATTTCTCATTTCCATGTGATAGATTTATTTGTGTAAATCTGTTCCAGCTACTTACAATCCCATATATTGTATCATGCTATTGACACAAGGTGCTCAAGTAAACGTACACCAAACATAATTTGCTATTTCGTGTATTTTTTAAATGATCTGTTTAACAGCTGCAATTGTATTTTTTTGTTCTGTTTTGTTGATTTTTTTTCACTGCACAAAGTGTTATTATCATTTTGCTAATCTGTCCTGTTTTTCTTACATTGGTATCATTTTTAATTTATGGTAATTGTGCTACTGACAGTACTTTCTTCATTTGGGATTCAATTTAAAATCCTCTATATTAGGTTTGGTCATAATTGTTCATGACAATTGGTCGAGCCCATTGCCGACTTGTGCTGTGAGGGCATGAAAAATAATTAACTTGTAGAGCACAATTGATGAATACTGGAGCAAGATTCTTCCTTTAGGTTGTGGAGAACGACAGTGGAGACACTGATTGAGACTCTCATTGGTAATGACTAGTCCCATGGAGACCTGGTATTGTATGGTGTCCAAAACATTTTTGAGCTAAGAAGCTAGCACAATCCATACTAGACAAGCTAGCTGCTAACTTGGTGTGCATCACCATTAACTTAATGATATTTGTTAACCCCATGTGTTTGTTCATTCAGAAGCTTCAAGGTGTTCTTCATCTAGTTCCCAGAGACTGGTTGGTGACCTCCTGGCAACCACTGGTCCCTAGGGAAAAACAATTATTCCCCACTAGTTGTGAGTGGTTGCTATACTCCCCACTGCTTTGCTTGCTAACAGACTGCTGTAGTCACCCATAGTTTGAACGGAAGATCTGTCTACAACCACTTACGAAATAACCACAGAGAGGTAGCGAAACCTGAGAAAGTGTGTCACAAACTGGAATCTGAGAATTTCTACCTTCAAATTTAGAGCTGCTTACTGCTAAAGCCAGCATGTTTCAATAGGTGCAACTTTTCCTTTGAAAGTGAACAGGCTCTTTTTCCGGTAACCGTTTTTTTCAAGTTTCACTTCTACTCAGTTAGAAAGTGTTTGTGGACAAGTTGGCCTCTTCCCAGCAAACTACAGGTGACTCAAGCATTCTGCTAGTGGCCAAAGCAATCACAAAGACGTTTTTGGTGCAGGACCCTCTCTGTGACTGATTTAACTCAGCATCACCCAGCAACTTCCAGTAACTTCTGGCCAGCCAATCTGGGAGTACACATTTTTCACACTTTTCTCTTCAGTGACCAAATGTTGCCAGGGTTTACCATCTGGTGCCTCAGTCTATCACATTTGTCTGGTCCAATACAAAAATAATCCCAAGTATGTGAGTTTATTTTATTTTATTTTTTTGCAGCAAGCTCATTCATGCATGTGCATGCATGGGGGAGTGGGTGGCACTGCACATGTATCAAAAAACTGCAACTATCTGTTGTCGATGGTTGCCAGTAGACAATTTTTAACATACTGCCCAAGCTTTCTATATTTTTCTCTCTGCATTCTGTGTGTACTCTTACAATCTGCTGTCAGAGTTATTTTCATCATATTTTTATGCACATTTTTTTCTGCAGGTTTTATGGTAAGATTAGTATTGGTATCAGTATTGGTGTTGACAGAGTACATATCAAGTTACACTCAAATGTAATCAAAAAGGTCAACGTATATTCATTGGCAATGCAAACAGCTACATCATTTAGATGGTGAAACGCCTGTCCTATCTACCTTCTCAAGAGTATTTCATTGAATGTCAACACAGTTCAGACAAACTGATCCCCTGCATGGCGCAGCACTCATGCTGGTTTTCTTGAACTGCTACTAAAGCAATGAGAGACATATGGGTATAGATCTATGTCTACTGCTGTCAAACATGATCAAACCATTAAATACTTTAGCCCATGTTTCGCTTTTAAAATAATATTTTAAACTATATTAATAACAAGAAGATTAAACAGCACTGAGAAATTTGCCAAATTTCCTCAAACAATATTTTTGTTACTTTTTGACAAGATTACAGACAGCTACACTAATACAACTGACAAATTACTGAACTAATAACTACACTAATATTTCCTAAGCCACACACATTATGTGTTAAATCTTTTTGAATCACCTTCTAAACGGAATAATTGTGCAATCTGATCATTACACAGTAGCAGCTCAAGCCAGGTTTAAATTAAATGGCAAACTATCTAATATTCTTAATACCAGTTAATAACATAGCATCAATGTTAGTTAATTCTAAGGTGGATTGCTGCCTGCAGGGTGAAGATTTAAGCATTTCTCTGCACAATGCTGCAGATCACAGAGAAACTACCTATAAATGCAGAAAAGAGGTCAAACAGCATTATCCTCTCTCATTTATCCTGTTACTGGTCTTACTAAAGCACCACTTTGTTTCATTTGATTGTTTGTTACTATGCATCAGTGACATAAAAGGTTGCCTCAATTATTTCAAGGACATTGCGGCCTGTCACAGTGCATTAGTGGAAAACAAATTGAATATACAATGATGAACAGAGGTCGAACAGATGAAGGTAAAATGGTATCAGTCCCAGTACCAGTCAGCTATGTCAGGGTGACTCAATAACAGACAGGTGTTAACAAGCTATGCTGAGCCTGTGAGCTTCAGCAGCTCCCAGGCACTGACTTAACAGTCACAAGTGCAGAATTGCATGTTCTTATAAATCAGATTTATGGGCTTCAGACATGGCAGGCAATTTCATCTTTGACCCATTCATTTTTAAACTAACAAGCACAAACAAAATAATACCTGTTGTGTTCAGTTGCTGGCTCA